AAACAATCCCATACCAGTTTGGAATTATGATTAATAGAATGGTTATTTATTCAAAGGGAAAAGCTTACAGATTACCGTCCCGGACAACAGCCCCTCTGCGCAATCAGGAAGGGAGTCTAGGAGCTGGAAGCGAAGCCAGATGCCGGAGAGAGAATGGAGGACAGCTGCTGCTTTTTTAAAGAGAGAGAGACCACGCCCCAGTGGGCTGGTATCTCAGCGGCTATTGGCTAAAGGAGCAGAAGGAGCTCCTGCAGCACCTCCCCCTTTTGCTTAAGTAAAAAAGTTCTAAGCCTACTACGAAATTATATACAATAAGAACAGATATCCTATTCTAACTAGCTTAAGTCTTGTATAATAACTTGGCCAAGTCATGAGAGGAAAGCAACTACATTTATATAATCTTCAACCCCATCGGAAGATCTGAGAAGGGAAATAATGTTACCTGAGTAATTAGGAAGTGCAATCAAATAACTTCCAGAACATGCAACAAATCACAGAGACAACTGGCTACCTGGGCAAACACCCAAAGTCACGTTTGCAGCGTTGAAGCAACCAACTTTGGCTAAGGCCTAACGTAACTGACATACCATTTTCAAAGGCAAGAAACTTTTCAAAACTATCTTACCCTGTCTTGGCAGGATATGACAGTCCTGTTTTATCCATTTCCGGATACTCTGTATCTCTGTCAGTAGTTGAGGTATGGGCATTTCTTTACCCAGTAGAGCATGAGACTCTTAATCTCAGGGTCGTGGGTTCGGGCCCCACGTTGGGCGCCATTTGTAATAAGAGAGGTGGGCCACGTTCCCACTGCCCAGCTCCCGGATCTCCGGCTCGTTTACACCCGAAATAATTACATGGAAACTGTATTCTTTAAAACAATGCCTGGCCCATTATATCTAGCCTCTCATTGGCTAACTCTTACATATTTATTTAACCCATTTCTAATAATCTGTGTCTCACCACGAGGTTGTAGCTTACCGGGAAAGATTTAGCATGTCTGACCTGGCAGCTTCATGGTGGGCAGCTCTCTGCCTCTGCTTCTTTCTCCCAGCATTTTGTTCTGTCTATTCCGCCTATATAAACTGCTGTCCTATCAAAGGCCAAGGCAGTCTCTTTATTAACTAATGAAAGTAACACATAGACAGATGACCCTCCTACATCAGACACCTATAGTGGTTTGAATGAGAATGACCCCCATAGGTGCATAAATTGGAATGTTCGGTGTGTTTTGTGATTTGGAGTGTTTTGTTTTGCTTTTCCAGATAGGACTGTGAAGCAGTCCCGACTGTCCTGGAACTCACTCTGTAGACCAGGCTGCTCTAGAACTCAAAGAAATCCACCTTCCTCTGCCTTTCAAGTACTGGGATTAAAGGCGTGTGCCACCACCACCCAGCTGAATGTTTGATTTCAAACTGCCTCGTAGTTTTTTCTTTCTTTCTGTGTCATGCTTATGGATCAGATGTAAGCTTTCAGCTACTCCTCCAACACTTTGCATACCTGCCTGCTGCCATGCTCCCCTCCCCCTCCCCCAATGGTGACTGTAAATTCTACTGTCCTATGGGACTGTGAGTGCCAAATTAAATGCTTGCTTTAGTGTTCTTTATATTTTCAAACTTATATTTTGTTTGCTTTAACAAATAAAGCTTGTCTGAAGATAAGAACAAAGCTAAGCCACTAGAGGCCAGGCAATGGTGGGACACACCTTTAATCCCAGAACTCAGGAGACAGAGGCAGGCGGATTTCTGTTTTTTTTTTTTTCAAAGCCACCCTGCCTACATGAAATTAATCCAGTCTAAAAGAGAAACTGCTCACACAAAGGTGATCCCAGCACTTGGGATCAGGAGCCTTTAATCCCAGCATTAAGCAGGTGTAGACAGGAGCTCAGTGCAGTGTGAAGAAGCAGTCTGAGAACGCATTCTGAGAACAGGATCAACCCTTTGGTCTGAGCATTGGTAAGAACTCTAGTGATTGGCCACTCTTCTTCCTTCGACTTTCACTCCCTAACAACTGACTTTGAGTTTTATTATTAAGAATAATTAGAATTCATGCTATGTAGGTGGAAGCTACTTGTCAGTTCTCAGCCGCCCAGACTTGAAATGATCACACTCAAGCTATATTTGCAATATTGTTTGGCCAATAGCTTAAACGTATTTCTAGCTAGCTCTTAACATCTTAATTTAACCCAATCCTTCTTTTTTTAATTATCGATTTTTTTATTGAGCTCTACATTTTTCTCTGCTCCCCTTCCTACATTCCCCTTCTCTTCAGCCCTCTCCCATGGTCCCCATGCTCCCAATTTACTCAGATCTTGTCTTTTTCTACTTCCCATGTAGATTAGATCTGTATATGTATCTCTTAGGGTCTTCATTGTTGTCTAGGTTCTCTGGGATTGTAACTTGTGGGCTGGTTTTCTTTGCTTTATGTTTTAAAACCACTTAATGGGTGAGTACATGTGAAAACTGTCTTTCTGTGTCTGGGTTACTTCACTCAAAACGATGTTTTTTACCTCCATCCATTTGCCTTCAAAATTCAAGGTGTCTTTTTTTTTTTCAGCTGTGTAGTACTCCACTGTGTAAATGTACCACATTTTCCTTATCCATTCTTTGGTTGAGGGGCATTTAGGTTGTTTCCATATCCTGGCTATGACAAAAAAAATGCTGCTATGAACATAGTTGAGCACATGTCCTTGTGGCACAATTGAGCATCCTTTGGTTGTATACCCAAAAGTGGTACTACTGGGTCTTGAGTAAGGTTGTTTCCTAATTTTTTGAGAAATCACCACACTGAAATCCAAAGGAGCTGTGCCAGCTTGCACTCCCACCAGCAATGCAGGAGTGATCCCTTTACCCCACAACCTCTCCAATATAAGTTGTCATCAGTGTTTTTGATCTTGGCTATTCTTACAGGTATAAGATAGAATCTCAGAGTTGTTTTGATTTGCATTTCTCTGATGACTAAGGATGTTGAACATTCTTAAGTGTCTTTTAGCCATTTTAGAGTCCCCTTTTGAGAGTTCTCTGTTTAGGTCTGTACTCCATTTTTTTTTAATTTGGATTATTTGTTCTTTGATGACCAATTTCTTGAGTTCTTTGTATATTTTGGAGATCAGACCTCTGTCTGATGTGGGGTTAGTGAAGATCTTTTCCCATTCTGTAGGCTGCCATTTTGTTTTGTTGACTGTGTCCTTTGCTTTACAGAAGCTTTTCAGTTTCAGGAGGTCCCATTGTTTCTCTTAGTGTTTGTGCTGCTGGGGTTATGTTTGGGAAGTGGTCTCCCGTGCCAATGCATTCGAGTGTACTTTCTACTTTCTCTTCTGTAATTATGGTTCAGTGTGGCTGACTTTATGATGAGGTCTTCATCCACTTGGACTTGAGTTTTGTGCATGATGATAGATATGGGTCTATTTTCATTCTTCTACATGTTGATATCCAGTTATGCCAACACCACTTGTTAAAAAAAGAAAAATCTTTTTGGTATTTTTTGCTTCCTTGTCAAAAATCAGGTGTTCTAAGATGTTTGAATTAATATCCGGGTCTTGGATTCTGTTCCATTGGTCCTCCTGTCTGTTCTTATGCCAATATCAGGATGTTTTCAGTACTGTAGCTCTGTATTAGAGTTTGAGGTCAGGGATTGTGATGCCTCCAGAAGTTCTTTTATTGGACAGGATTGTTTTGGCTATCCTGGGTTTTTTGCTTTTCCCTATGAAGTTGAGTACCGTTCTTTCAAGACCTGTGAAGAATTTTGCTAGGATTTTGATGGGCATTGCATTGAATCTGTAGATTTCTTTTGATAAGATTGACATTTTTTACTATGTTAATTCTACCTACCCAGGAGCATGGAAGATCTTTCCACTTTCTGGTGTCTTCTTCAATTTCTTTCTTCAATGATTTAAAGTTCTTGTCATACAAGTCTTCCATTTGTTTGGTTAGAGTTACTCTGAGATATTTATGCTATTTGTGACTATTGTGAAGTAACCCATTCGTTTTATTTTCTATTTTACCTTGAGGCTCATTGGTTTACCATGACTGGGTGGGGCCTGGGTGTCTTTCTCCTCCTGGCAGATTCATAGCTTTCCCTGACTCTGCCTACTCTCTCTATATATATTTTCCAACCTTACTATTCTTCGAAAAAATATAGTCATATGATCATGTTCTTCATAACAGTAGTCCGTCCATTTCCTGGTAGCAGAGTCTTTATTTGTAATTATTCTGTTTTATATTATGACAAAGCACTATGCCTAAAGTAATAATAGAAGGGTTTATTTGGGCTTACAGTTTCAAAGTTTATAAGAGTTATTACTGTTACCGTTGGGAAACATGGCAGGAGGCAGGCGTGATAGCAGGAACAGCTGACAGCTCAGGGTCTACATCTTGAACCACAAATAGGGAACAGAGGAACAAACTAGAAATGGTGCAAATGTTGGAACTCTCAAAGCCCACCTCCAATTCCATAGAGAGATAGGCCATACTCCCTAAGCTTTCCCAGACACCACCAACTGGGCACCAAGTATTCTAATGCAGAGGCTGTGGGGCACATTTACCATTCAAAGCACCATACATGCAAACATTCACACACAAAACGAAAATAAGTCTATATGTGCCAAAATAGGGTTAAACCTAAATTTGTTTGAAGGTATTTGCATGCTTTTAATCATTTGACAACCACGTAAGAAAGGGTCGGCATGTAAATTGTTGATGAATAGAATGGCTGACTTTCTGGACTGTAGAAAGTAGATAGTTGGAATATCTACAGTCTAATTCAAGAAGCTTAAGAAGTGTTAGCTAGAGCCTACTAGCTAACACTAATTTAAATTGCTCAGTGTCAGTTTTGATACCAAAGTTTCTCTTCCATTGAGAGTACAAAACTTTAAAGGCGAAACAGATACTTTTTTGATGTATGCTGTCGCTTAAATATGTTTTAGCTGCCAGTTCTTAACTTTTGTTTGTTTCATAGATGCATCTTTTCTAGTATGGTAATGAGAAATCTTTTTTTTAAAACAGGATACATTAATTGTTTGGTCAGAAGCTGAAAATTATGATCTGGCTCTAAGTTTTCAAGAAAAAGCTGGCTGTGATGAGATCTGGGAAAAAATTTGTCAAGTAAGTTTTTTTATATATAAATATTTATAGATATGATTGTACACATTACTTGTTATTTTCTTTTGACGTTAGAAGTGTGTGTTAAACTATGGGAAGGTTATAAGCTAAGATTTTAATACTCTAGCATGATTTTTGTGTGTGTATTTTTCAGGTGCTGGTAATCTGACCCAGATCCTAATTCATACTAAATAAATGCTCTGCCGCCTTTAATCTCAGTACTAGGGAGGCAGAGACAGGGCGGGTCTCTGAATTTCAAGCCAGCCTGGTCTACAAAGTGAGCTCCAAGAAAGCCAGGGCTACACAGAAAAACCCTGTCTGGGAAAAAAACAAAAGAGGTGCTCTGTTACTGAACTGCATCCTTAGTTTTAGACAGTTTTTTATTTGTTGTAACTGATTATTTCACTTTAAATTAGGGGCTACAATATTACTATGTTTAGATTTTTCTTTTTTTAAATATGAACAAGACTGTGAATGTGACTCAGTTGGTAGAGTGCTTCCCTAACATACAGGAGGCCCTGGTTTCAGCTCCTGCTTGGTTAAGTCAAGCATGGTGGCGAGCACTTATAGTCCCAACAATCAGGAGATTAAAGCAAGAGGATCAGAAAACTAAAGTCATCGTCAGCTTCGTAGTAAGCTTGAGGCCATCCTAAGCCTTATGAGACATGTCTCAGAACAGAATTGGGACCAGGGGAATGTGCAGAGTTCCTGTAAAACTCCCTCCACACAGCTCCTGCACTCAACTGCATGCAATGCAGCAAGATTTAGCATCGCATGTTAATATAGAATATTAGTTGCAATTAATAAACTAGTGTTAAATATTATTAACTAAAACTCATGCTCTGTTTAGACCTCAGCAGTTTTTTGATGTCCATTTTCTTTTCCCATGATGCCACCCACATTGCACCACTCTTTTTGTTAACTTCTTAGACTTTTTATCGCTGTGATATTTGATAATTAGAATTTTAAATTGATTGTGTCTTTTTGTTTTTAGTGACAGATCTGTTTCAATGACTGTCTAGTACAGATCTTTATGTCTATCTAATAGGTTGATTTCATTGTTTGACTATTATCATTCTCTCTCACTTGAGCTTTTCTCTATGATTCTGTTTGTTAAAAGTCTCACTCAGTTGCCAGGTTAACCTCAAACCCAGTGATCCTCATGCCTCAGTTTCCCAAGCCTCAGTTTACTGGGATTATTGCATGAACTATTATACCCAGGTCCTTTTGGTGATTCCTAAAATTTTTAAATTGCTTTTCTAGATCTGATCATAATCATTTTTGTTTGACTGTTTTTATTTTGTGCCACATACTTCAAGAAACTAGCCAGGCATATTGATGCAAAGCCATTTTCCTAGCGTTTAGAGCCAAAGGATCAAGAGTTTGTGGTCATCCCAGATGTGTGTGTGTGTGTGTGTGTGTGTGTGTGTGTGTGTGGCAATATATATACATATATGTGTCTATGTGTAGATACATATACATATGTATATGTGTCTAGATAAAAGGTATGTATGCATGTATGTGTGTGTGTGTGAATGAGTTTGAGACTAGCCTAGAACACATGAGGCCCTATCTCAGAAACACAAGGAAAAATTTAAATGAATCTTCCTATTCCCTATGTAGCCCTGGGTCAGCAAATTTTTAGCTGGAAATGGACACTTTCTTTTACATGTTATTTTCTTAGTGAGCATTATTAATATACTTTTTAAATGGCATAACTCTGAAATATAAAAATTCCAGTATAAAGTATTTCATGTATTCATGCAAAATGTACATGGAATAAAATTGAAATTGTTATGCTATTATTTGTCTTTCTGGTTTTTCTGTCTTTAAACCTGCAGATACTTTTTATGTTGTTTCTTGTGCATTCCCATAAAAACAAGTTGTATTTTTAACATTCTAAAATCTCTGTAAATTAGAATTGAAGGCCTAAAAATAATCTGATGTTGTATGGAGAGTGGTAGCCTCTTGTTTGTTCCAGCCTCCTGGCTAGCTTACACCCGAAATAATAACACAGAAACTGTATTCATTTAAACACTGCCTGGCCCATTATCTCTAGCTTATTATTGGCTAATTCTTACATCTTAATTTAACCCATTTCTCTTAATCTGTGTATCACCACGAGGTCGTGGATTACCTGGAAAGATTCAGCATGTCTGATTCTGGCAGCTCCTTGGCGGTTCAAGTCTGCCCTTCTTTCCAGCATTCAGTTCTGTCTACTCTGCCTACCTAAGTGCTACCCTATCAAAAGGCCAAGGCAGTTTCTTTATTCAACCAATGAAAGCAACACATAGAAGAACCTTTTACACCAATCTGAATTGTTTGCCTTTAATGTATTTTCAGTAAATATTTGCTATTCTGGTCTTAATTTACACTTCAATCTATGAAGTGAAACTTACCTAAGTAAAAACACGCATTAAGTATAAAAATATTAAAATCACAACATTATAAGGATAAGAGAATATGGAGACATTTTATAAAGCTGTTTGGAATATCTTAATGGCATATAAAAGTAACTTAAATGATAAATTTCAAAAATTCAGAAAGAGTATCACCTTTTTTAGAATATAATCTTGGTTTATCTATCTTCTACAATATAGCTGTGCATAGTAATATTTTTCAGTAAATAACATATTACGCTACTAGAGAAGTGGCTCAGAGGTTAAGAGCTTTGACTGCTCTTCCAGGGGTTCTGAGTTCTATTCCCAGCCTCTACATGGTGGCTCACAATCATTCATAATGAGGTCTGATGCCCTCTTCTGGCCTGCAGGCAGAAATACAGGCAGAACGTTGTATATATAATAAATCTTTTTAAAAATAAGATTAGATTATACCTGTTTCTTACCTCAGCCCTTACTGTTTTTTATACGGTTTGGAATATACATGTGTGTATGAAACTTCATGTACTTGTCCTAGAATTGTTTTCAAAGTATTGTGTTTACTTGTGCTTTTGTGTCTTGTATGGGCACAGAGCATGTGTGGAGGAGCACAACTTGGCAGGGGTCTGTTTCCTCTATTCATCCTCTAGGTACCAGAGATTAAACTCAGGTCAACAGGTTCAGCAGCAAGTTCCTTTTTTTACCTGCTGAACTATTTTGCTGACCCTATCCTAGAATTTTACTAAAATTGTCTTACTGTTTTTTATTCAGATAGTTCTGAAGGTTCACAAGACAACTTTTAGGTACAGTAGTTGATTGAAAAGATTCAAGAGAACTCAACAAAGCTGTTTTACATTTAGTTACAATTTATTACTATAGTAGCACATACAGATTAAAAGAAAATGGGGGAAAGCAAATAGGGATAAAGACTAAGGAGAATTCTGTATTTGAGCTTCCAAGCCTCTCTTCTGATAGTCATACAGACAGCACTTAGTTCTCTCAGCTCCAGTGTGTGGTCCATATAACTGTTGTCAACCAGAGCAGCTTACCCAAGTATTTGTGGCCAGGGTTTTTATTAGAGATGAGTCACATGAGGTTGACTGACCCTAGATTCCAGTTCCTCCAGAGGTCAAGGATGCCTCCTAATCCAAGCAACCACCATAAACTACATTGTTAGCATAGGATAATGCATAAACCTAGATCCCCTCTTTAAGATATAGGATTGTAGGTGTATAGGTGTTGCTCCTCAGGAACTGGGCATTGGCCAGACCTTTTTTGGGTAGGTCAATCCCTCAGTCAAAATTCTCTTTCATTGAAGTGATTATATTTGAGGACCAGAGGGCTGGTGATGGCTGGGGGTAAAGGTGATTGCCACAAAGTTGACAACCTAAGTTTGATTCCCCTAGCACACATGGTAGAAGGAAAGAATTAACTTAGACAAGTTATCCTCTGACATACACAGTAAGTCTTCACAAGGAAAAGGTAAAACTATTATTACTGATGATGATTTTATGTGTATTGATGTTGCCTACATGTGCATCAGTGCATTATGGGCATATGGTGCCACGGAGGACCAGAAGAGGTTGTTGGATCCCTGGGACCATATATTATACAATTATAGATAGTTACGAGACATCATATGGAAATCAAACCTGCATTCTCTGGAAGAGCAGCCAGTACCCTTAACTACTGAGCCATCTCTCCAGCCCTGTAAAGCAAATTTTTCAATGGTCATATTTGACTCAGTATCTGCACTTGCAATGACAAAACAGTAGAGTTACTATGAATGACTAAGGTAGACATGTTAAAACATAAGCCAGTGAAATGGTATTTACTCTGTAAGTGTAATGACCTAAGTTCGATCCCAGAATCCACAGTGAAAGCAGGGAATCAACTCCACAGATCTATTCTTTGACCTCCACAGACACACCAGGCACTGCCCACACCCACTGATTATAATCATAAATAAATATGAAGAAACAACTACACTGTTCTCTAAAATTTTGGGATTTTGTTTGTTTTATATCAATTCCATTCCTATTTCCTCCGTGATTTTTTTAAAAATATTTTTTTAAACTAGCAGCATTTTATTTTATTTAAAGATTTATTTATTAATTATGTATTATTGCATGTGTCCCTGCAGGCCAGAAAGAGGGCACCAGATCTTATTACAGATAGTTGTGAGCCACCATGTGGTTCCTGGGAATTGAACTCAGAACCTCTGGAAGAACAGTCAGTGCTCTTAACCTCTGAGCTGTCTCTCCAGCCTTTCCTCCGGGATTTACTGCAGTTTGTACCTCACAGTAGCTGTTCAGACCTGTTCCCGATTTCAGTCTCTGAAACCCCCACATGGTGGATAAGCAGAACTCACTTTTTCATGTTGTCCTCTGACCTCCATGTGTGCTCTGTGACAAACACAGAATGGTATGAAAACAAAACAAAAACCAACAGCAAAAACAGCTATTTAATGCAGAAATTACCCAAGACAGTTTTGGTAGTACACGCCTTTCATCCCAGAAGGCTGAGGCAGGTGAATCTCTAAATTCAAGGTCATCTTGTTCTACCGTCAGAGCTATACAGTGAGACCCTGTCTCCAAAAAAAGACAGGAAAGAAAAAGAAATAATATTGCTAGGTTGAAAGTAGTAACACATACCTTTAGTCCCAGCACTGAGAAAGAAGAGGCAGGTGGATCTCTGTGAATTCGATACTAACCTGCTCTACATAGAAGTTCCAGACCAGCTAGGACTACAGAGAGAAACCCTGTCTCAAGAAAGAAAAAAACAAAGAGACTAGCCAGAGCTTAGCAGATCTAAGTCTTCCCCAGGCCAGTCATTTTCATTTGGCATTACATCCTCAGGAGGCTTCAGTGTAATTTCCCAACATATGGTGATCAGTATTGCAGAATTTAGTACGTAAGAGTTGAGTCAACAGTACCAATGTTGTTTAATTAAAAAGTAAGAGTCACAATCTATTCAGGCATCTGGTATAATCAAGCCAGTATTATTTCTTGCTCTTAGCCTTTGAGGCACATATCATTGGATTTCCCTTACTCTGTAGTCATCTGGTCATTCCTTTGCCTCTGTTGTTATTTCTCCTCTTCACTTGTCTTCTCCCCCACAGTGGGATTACAAACAAGTGTGCCCACCACCATGTCCTGCATTTGTTGGTTTCTGGAGCTCCGGTTGAGGAGTTGAGGTCCTCAGGCTTGTATGGCAAGTGCTTTACCAACTGAGCCACTGCCCATTCCTGAGAATGTCATTTCTTAACTAGACTGGCCTTGAATTTCCTGATTCTTGCCTCCACCTCTCAAGCACTGAGATTACAGGTGTGCTCAGTGTTCATGGTACTTTTACATAAATTCGATGGTCAGTGATTTGATTTCCAGAGTGTTAAACTATTTTGTATTTTAAGATAACCAGCTGTACTTGGGTGTTTTTAGGTTCAAGGTAAGGACCCATCAGTAGAAGTCACACAGGACCTCATTGATGAATCAGAAGAAGAACGATTTGAAGAAATGCCAGAAACTAGTCATCTAATTGACCTGCCCACATGTGAACTCAGTAAACTTGAAGAGATTGCTGACTTAGTTACCTCAGTTCTTTCCTCACCTATCCGTAGGGAAAAGCTGGCTCTGGCCTTGGAAAATGAAGGCTATATCAAAAAACTACTGCAGCTGTTCCAAGCTTGTGAGGACCTAGAAAACAGTGAAGGCTTGCACCATCTGTATGAGATTATTAGAGGAATCTTATTCCTAAATAAGGCAACTCTTTTTGAGGTAATGTTTTCTGATGAGTGTATCATGGATGTCGTGGGATGCCTTGAATATGACCCTGCTTTGGCCCAGCCAAAAAGACATAGAGAATTCCTGACCAAAACTGCAAAGTTTAAGGAAGTTATACCAATAACAGACTCGGAACTAAGGCAAAAAATACATCAGACTTACAGGGTACAGTACATTCAGGACATCATTTTGCCTACACCTTCTGTTTTTGAAGAGAATTTTCTTTCTACTCTTACATCTTTTATTTTCTTCAACAAAGTTGAAATAGTCAGCATGTTGCAGGTAAGTAAGTTACTTTTCACAGTTCTATTTTCAGGTGTTGTGTTGTTATTAATTTAAGCCAGTGATAACAGTTTACTTTGTTTACTTTAAATGTTCTATTTAAACATAGAAAGCATGACTGTCTTACGGTTTTTATTTTTTAAGATTTTTAAGTTTTTGTATAAGGTGCTTTTTTATTACATTTATTGTGTTTGTGTATGTGCATGTGTGCTATACTGTGGGGAGGGACATATTTGAGGACAGCTTGTACGAGTTTCCCACTGATGAAACCCAGACTGGCCTTCAACTTAACAGTGTAGTTAAGAGTGACTCCCAGTTCCTGGAATTACACGCATGTACCACTACTCCTGGTCCTACCTACCAATTGTTCATTATTCTTCAGTAAATGGCATAAGGAAAGTTAAATAACATATTAGATTCCTTTTATAGCAAATGGGATGTGGTGTTTTGTTGGGTTTTTTTTATAATTTTATTTGGCTGACCTTGAACTCAGGATTTTCCTCATTTTTCCTGAGCACTGTGATTTCAATCGTGTGACCTGCAGTTCATTTCAGGATGCTGTTTTATACACAGAAAAAAATCAGTATCAGGAAATTGAAAATGTGGCTGTAGTGATATTTCATTTTTATTTTAATAAATAAAGCTTGCCTGAAGAACGAGAGTAAAACAGTCACACTGATCAGCTACATAGATCAGGCAGTGGTGACACACACCTTTAATCCCAGTAGCTACACTAGTTTACCATAGAATCTGGGCTGTAGGGATGCACACCTTTAATCCCAGCAGAGGAATATAAAATGGGAGGAGACAGGTTTCAGGCTCAGTCTCATTCTGAGGATTTCTGGAGGCAGGATCTCCATTTTCAGACAGAAGGAGAAGAGCGAGCCAGTGACTGACTTCTTTGCTTTTCTGTTCTTCAGGTTGAACCCCAATATCTGTCTCTGGGTTTTTATTAATTGTTCTACATACGGCCATACTCTGGAGTTAATATAAAGGATGTCAAAGTCTCAAATATAGCATCCAAGTGATTGCTTGACTTAAGGGTTTCCAGATCCACAACAGTAAATCATAACATTTTTTTTGTAGTTGAAAAATAATGTCTGGAGACGTAGTTCAGTAGTTGAGAATGCTTACTTACCAGTTCCCAGTACTGTCAAAAATAGGTTAAATAAATTGTGTAAACTAATCTATAACTATTTGCACAATTTTCTTTGTCATTTTACATTTATTTATAATTTTATTTGTGAAATCTATGGTATAAAGCAAAGCTTTAAAGGAATTTTATTTTACTTGTTTGTTTTTTGCTTTTTTTTTTTAAGGTTGGGTCTCACTAGTAGCTTTGGCTGTTTAGAAACTCACCATGTAGGCCAGACTGGCCTTAAACTCAGTGATCCTCTTGTCTCTGCCTTCGTGAGTGCTGGGATTAATGGCTTGTGCTACCATACCAAGAAATTTTCATTTATTTATGATTCATGAGATGCAATTTATGAAATTGTTAATGAAATTTAAACTACCTGATGTTTGTCTGTTTTGTTCTTATTTCTGTTTGTACCACTAAGGATCATTCTCATGGGTTAGAAAAGAACCCTCACACTGAGCTACGTCCCAGCCCTGATTTAGAACCTCTCTCCAGGGGTTTCATTATTTAGAAAAGTAGCCACATGTACTATGATAGTTGTCTTATTAAAACAAAAGCTTTTAAGGCTTACAGAAAAGAAAAAATGATCAAAAGTGATTACTTTCGCGACTTAGAGAAGCAAGGATTTAGGAAAAAGTATCCCAGCTCCAGGCTTTATATTGTCAGTCATTTTCTTCCTAACATATACCCTGAAACATAATGTTTCATAGCTTAAAGAGGTCACAGAAATGATGCTGTAAATTGGGGGAGGGGAAGAGGCTCCTAATGAACATCATTAAGATTGCTTTCATGAATAGTTTCAATGGTTTGGCTGTCACCTCATAAGTGGCAAGTCGTGCAAAGAATTTAAGGGGAAATGTTCTCCTTTGAAAATACTCTGAAAGAGTTTAAAAACCTTTAGCTGGAAAGAATAAAAATTTAATGTGGGAGATCTGTGGAAAGAAACAAAATTTATAAAAGATGTGAACAGGGGAAATACATACTTACAGATAATACATTTATAATATTTTTAGAGCAAGTTACTTAAAATTGAGTTTCATAGAGGTGGGCTTTGAAACATCCTTGTTTGTTCTGACTGTATCAAGCCATGATGTAGTGTCTAAAAGGAGTCAGTGAATACATAAAGAAGTACCATTCTGAGTCACTCTTCTTTGTCTTTTCAAGACAGGTTTCCCTGTAGCTTTGTAGCCTGTCCTGGAACTCACTTTGTAGACCAGGTTGGCTTCGAACTCGCAGAGATCCACCTGCCTCAGCCTCTGGAGTGCTGGGATTAAAGGCGTGCGCCACCGCCACCCCGCTTGAGTCACTCATTTAGAACCCTTTTTTATCTCTTTACTTTGTCTTTTAGCACTGTCCGTTGACGCTTAGTACTTTTCTAACTGGTGAGGACTGTATCTTAAGTTAAGTTCTCCAACTTATTTTGGAAACAGTTTTGAGATCCTTGTTAATGTATGGTTCATATAAGACATGTTTCAAATGCATCTTTTATATCTGATGATTTCCTTTTATTCAGACAAGCACAATTATAATTTAAATATCTCTTCTACATTTTAGACATACAAATTTTTAATATCTCTTAGTCATCAGGTGCAATTGCCGTAGTGATTTGTCATTTTATTTTATCCTTGGCTATAGATTAAAGCACTCTGTATGATCCACATGTTGAAGACTTTCTGCCTGCCGCCATAATCCTGTGACTGTCTTGTTCTTTTTTTCTGGTACATATGAACTGACAGTGAGATCCTCAGATTTATTTGAGCTGTGTTTAAATTAAGAGTAAATAAAAACTGATTTAGAAAAGCTATCAGAATGAAAGTAATGAATTGACTGATCTGCCTCTGGAGCTCCTGTTTGTTCTGCTGCTTCTTCCTATGTAGTGAGACTCTAGTTTGTGTTAACTTCCACGGAAGTTCTAAGTTTTAGAAAACTGTAAATAAATACATCCTCAGACTTCAGGTTTCATGATGAATATGCTTTTGAATTTCAATTTGTTTTTTACTATACTTTGTGTAAGACATATATAATGTAACTATACTTTTGCTAATATTTCATAGCATTTATTTCTTTTCATGCAGGAAGATGAGAAGTTTTTATCCGAAGTCTTTGCACAGTTAACAGATGAAGCTACAGATGATGATAAACGGCGTGAATTGGTCAGTCATTTATTCAGTTTCTAAAACTTGTTTTTACATGTTTCAGAAAATACTTAAGATATTATGTGTGTCATTCCCACACACACAGATACCCTCCCCAAGGAGATTTAAATGCCTTTATAGCATGACAGAACTATAGATATTTGTTATAGTAGTAGGTATTTATATAATGGAGATGCAGAAACAAAACTACAGAGATGAAAGGAAAACACTTCTAAAATAAATAAATGGTAAATATTTGGTTCCTTAGAAATATTTACTTGTTAATGTGTCTATCAAGGGGTTTTAGGAGCCTTGGAGTTTTGCTTTTGTTCTGAGAGGTAACTATTTTAGAGGGAAAAATCAACAATTGCTATTTACTAGATTTTTGCCTTCTTTGAATGTAATCAGATTTGTGACATTTTTTTACGTTAGGTTTAAAGATCAGTGTTTGAGAAGTAAAGCTAGCTTTATTTTTAATATGCTAGAGTTTTGTTGTTGGTTTGTTTGTGTGTACACCTGCATATATCTATGTCACCCTTGTTTATATTTTACAATTGGGGAGTGGTGCACACATGCATGAGTGGAGGTCAGAGGACAACGTGTGGGAGCTGGCTTTCTTTCGATTGTGTGGGTTCCGGGAATCAGGCTCAAGTTGTCAAACTTGACAGCAAGTGACTCTACCCACTGAGTCATCTGGTCCACCCCAGGCTTTATTTTTAAAGAGACAAGGTTTATTTATTTAACTGTTGCCTAGGTAGACCTCAGATTCCTGATCCTCCTGCCTCCTGAGTTTTAGGAAGATGGTATAAGCCAGTATGTTCACACTAACTTTTAATATTATGAACCAGGACATGTGAAAATATGAAGTCCTTCAGAAGGATGAATTCCATTACAGTATCCCCAGCTTTGTCTTCCATGTTTATTGACTTTTCACTTTAATGTTTAACCTCACAGGTTAATTTCTTCAAGGAATTTTGTGCATTTTCTCAGACATTACAACCTCAGAACAGGGATGCTTTTTTCAAAACTTTGGCAAAATTGGGAATTCTTCCTGCTCTGGAAATTGTAATGGTAATTATGGTTTCTTCTTGTGCTTTTCAAGTTGTGATTTTGTCATAGATTTATTTTTTGGATGGTAAAATATTTGCATAGTACTGACTTATCATTTAGTCATCCATCTGATGCTGAGTCAGCACAAGAATGATTTGTTACCAGGTTACGATTTGTGCCATCAGTGTTTGTGTTTGTTTTTCAAAGACTTGTTTTTCCTTAAGTGACACTGTGTTTCATAGAACTGGGTAAGTTGTCTTCACTTTTAATCCAGTTGGTAGAGTGAGAACATACTGAGCCAAGAGTTATAATTCTCAGCTTTCAGTTACATGTATTTGATTCGTAGGCATTCAGATAAAAAAAAAATCTAAATGAGGATAATTTAAGTCTTCATTTTAAAATGTGTCTTTTATTTAAAAAAATTATTTTTTGTTTTCTTTGTGTGTATGTATATTTATGTGAATGTATGCCACATGTGTGCCTGTGTCAGTGGGTTACGAGTGTGCACTCAGCTCTCTATTCATGCTTATGTATAATCTCTGAATAGTTCTTTTAAGATGGTTAAAAAAAAAACCATTAGAAATAAATACTGAGTTGCTCCCAAATATAACAGTTTTAGGTGTGGGGGAGTATATTTTAATTCAGTTTGGTGTCTTAATCCAGAAATTAGGAGGGGATGGGAGGGAAGAGATACTGCAAGTTGAATGTTAATCTGAAATTCTAAGAGTTTATTCGTGGATATGAGAGAGAAGAGGGAATGCAAGACTAACCTTTGTTATCAGTCTCTAACCCAGCTTCCCTTTTATCAGGGCATGGATGACTTGCAAGTCAGATCAGCTGCTACAGATATATTTTCTTATCTGGTAGAGTTTAGTCCATCTATGGTCCGAGAATTTGTAATGCAAGAAGCCCAGCAGAGTGATGATGTAAGTAATAATGCTGAATTTTGTATGTTACCCATGGAGAAGTGCTTACTGTTGCAAAGAAGTCATAACCATAATCTTAATTTTAGGAATATATAGTAGTAATGGAAGGCATTTTTTATATTTTAGGGTAATTAAAATTTTAATTTAAAAAGCATTTGAACAGAATTAAATGTGCCTCAGAAACCAGAGGCTATTAAATAAAAAATCTGTGTGAGAGAAGGGATACCTCCCTATGAGTTGTGAGTTATTGAGGCCCCTGAGGCTCCCCAAACAAATACAGGCTACTATCACTGCTCTTGCTCACCAAAACAAGATGATGATATTGCCAAAATCCCATACTCCATGATTGCAGGATAGAGAAATCAAACTGGAAATAACCTATAAGCCTTCTACCTGTTTTCATCATGCCAGAAGTTGGAAAGCAAAGTCATCAAACAATCTTATTCAGGCATGAACCCTGTGTGTTATACTGCTAACCTGTCAGTCAAGATGTGCCCGCCAAAGCAGTAGGAGCACTTCTGTTAAAAGGACAACCATCTTTAATGGGAAGACATTTTAATCCCTCTAGATGTGCAGACCAAGTAATGACCTTGTATAACTAAGAATTTGTTTTTACTTACTCAGTTCCTGTTTTTAAATTGGAACGAAAGTTGAATAATATGAAAAATATTGTTTTCCCACTAAAATATTTATGCAGTATGAGCAAAATGAACTGGAGTTATAGATCTGCCTGCTTCTACTTCAGAGGTCATGGCATTAAAGGCATGTGCACCATTGACTAGGTAGCTACATTATTTTTGTTAGTTTTATGTTTAGTCTTAATGTATGTTTTATATTTTTACTTTTTGTATTTCTTAGTTGCTTACAAAGTTTCTTGGCTTAGTTTTGTTGTTTTGTTTTGTTGTTGTTCTGCTTTCTGTTTAAGATTTGTGTGTCAAGCACATGCACACAGATGCCACCCGGGCTCAGGAGAAGTCATAAGATCCTGGAATCTATAATCACAAACAATTGTCTTCCACCTAACCTTTGTGTTGGAAGCCAAACTTGGCCCCTCTGCTTTTGCTTTGAGACACTTAGCATGTGCATCAGTCTAGCTGTGAATTCATAGCCTCCTGCCTCAGCCTTTCAAGTGCTGTGATGCAGACATGTGTCGCCATTACTTTCCATTTCTTAAAGAATGTTAGGGATGCTGCTATAGTTAAAGAGGTAATTTGTGGGGGGCAAGGTGTCTCACACCTATAATCTCAACATGTTTGGGTGCCAAGACAAAAGGGCTGCCACAAATTCAAGGCCAGCCTAGACCTTCTAACATACTCTGTTAGAACAAGACCCTGTCTGAAACACCATCCCTCAGAAACATTTTATATTAAGTTATGTTACTCTGGCAATTGTCTTTGTTTGGTTGGTTTTAGAGTGTGTGTGTTTGTTTGTTTGTTAGTTTGGAGAACATTAGCTGTTGTAGGTTTTATTTAGATTACTTGGGGAGATCAAAAGAGGGTAACCATTACCCTGAAGCTGGAGTTACAGGCAGTTTTAAGCTGCCTGACATGGGTCCTGGGAACTGAACTCTGATACTTGGGAAGAGCAGGACCTGCTTTTAATTGCTGAGCCATCACTCTAGTCTACCGAACACCAAATGATGCTAAACCCTAGTTAATTTTTATCTCACTGTGATATTCTTAATACCAGCCTTTATAGAAGATAATTTCAGGATTAATATTTCTGTTGAAATTAACATTCTATCTTTGAAGCTTTTATGCTTAAAAGGTTTTCATCTTAAATGACCATAAATCTCAACTTATACCATAATAATCATAAACAATTTGCTTTTAAAATTCTTAACTCTTAAAAATTTGATTAGTTTCCATTAGCAATATTTTCTTGTTTATGTTTAATTGATAACAGAGAAGTAGTTACTAATTTTTCTAACATGCTTGCCCAGGAGACTTGCAAAAGTTGGTTCTCTTTTTTCACCTTGTGGCTCCCAGTGGTCAGGCTCAGTTTGTCAAAATTGGCAACAAACACCTTTACCTATTATTTTATCCTACTGACCCCTAAATCTGTTTCTAATGCTGTGACAAGTCAAAATCATTGGTTTTCAAATGTTCAAGCCTGGTAGAGGATTGTGCTCCAGTTTTTAATAGTTAATTTTCTATGGCCTGGTTTAGTTGGTTCTTCTTTGCTAGCTGTTTGTGAATTCATGTCTCTTTATTGTTTTCTTCCATAATTATTTCTCATTAGAGTGAGACCCCATCTCAAAAAAATAATAATAATAAGCCTGCCATGTATTTAAAAGAGAGAGGGAGAATCCTAGCTACTTGAAAGATTGTTTGAGCTCAGAGTTCAAGATTAACCTGAGCAACTTAGCAAGTTCCATCTCTTTAATGTTTTCCTAGTATTTGTCTCATACACTTCTCAATTGTGATGTTTTGTTTATTGTAAGCCTAGCTGCAGTGAGTTATTCATTTATACCATTGTAGCTGGAGTGTGTTATAGGTACATCATCTAGGTTTATATAACTAACTGTCTTAGTTACTTTTCTACTTCTGTGACAAAGCACTGTGACCAAGACAACTTAGGGAAGTTTATTGGTGCTTTCAGTTCTAGAGGGTAAGCCCATAACCATCATGGCAATGGAGTGTGACATCAGGTAGACAGGGATGGCACTGAACCAGTACCTGAAAGTTAACATCACAAGCAAAAGGCAGAGTGTGCTAATTGGGAATGTCATGGACTTTTGAAGCCCCCAGACCCATCTCCAGTGACACAACGCTTCCATAAGACCACACTTCATAAACCTTTATAAACAGTTCTACCAGTTAGGGACCAAATATTCAAATTCATGAGCTTACTCAAACCACTATAATAACTGTATGATGTCCATGCAGCAACAAAAAGTCTGATAACAAGTTGTTTAGCGTATACTTTTGATGACAGAATGTTTTTCCTTTGACAATCACTTTTCGTCGTATTGTAATGATTAAGATTTCTATGGTTTTAAAAAAATGTTGGTTCAGTCAGTAAAATACTTTGTCACACAAGCATGAGGACCAGATTTTGGGTCCCCAGAACCCGTGTGAGAGAAAACCCAGCACCTATAATCACAGTGCTGGGTTAATGAAAACAGGAGGTCTGTGTGAATCAGTGAGAGACCCTGTCTCAAAAAGTAGTGTACAAGCTGGGCATGGCATAATAGGACACGCCTTTAATCCAGCACTCTGGAGGCAGAGGCAGGCTGCTAGACCAGCCTGAATTCCAGGAGAGCCAGGGACTCCAGAGAGTGTCTCAGAAAAACAAAAAACAAAACAGAGGAAGATCCTGCACATTATCATTACATTAATTATCATTAATCTTCTATACACACATACAGCAAAAACAACATATACAAAGAATACAGACATGTGTGACAGTAAACCTAATGCTAAGTCACTTTATGACACTGTTCTTGGGTCTTGTAAAAGGTGTGTGCTAAGTTACTGCTTGTGCATTTTCTAGGAAGGGTTTTCTATTTAAAGATTGAAATGATCGGTTTTAAGGTCACATGTTCTGTGTTCATATATGATTGATCAGCCTATTGATTTATACCCAGAGCTAACACCTAGAATGGTGACAGTCTTTGTCTGTCTCTCTGTCTCTGTCTATCTATCTCTATTCACACTAAGTATTTTCAGAACTTTGGGAAACAGAAAAAAAATCTTTAAAGTATTCTATACTTTGATTTTTTTTTTTCTGTGCTCTGATTTTACTCCTTCAGTTGGTATGTTTATCTTATGTCAAGGTCTCACAGAAACATATTTTCTTCCAGGATATACTTCTTATAAATGTGGTGATTGAACAAATGATCTGTGATACTGACCCTGAGCTAGGAGGTGCAGTTCAGTTGATGGGACTTCTTCGTACTCTAATTGATCCAGAGAACATGTTGGCTACAACTAATGTAAGAACTCACACTGAGGTCAAAGGTGTTGGACTTTACAGTCTTAAATGGTTTTGTAATACGATCTTTAGAAGCAACAAATATTTTGATAAGTATCTGTATTAATTTTCAGTAAATGTAACAGTGTTGTCTGTTCAGTTCCTCTTTTGCTTTTAGCTTTTTCCTTTATTTGTTATAGGTAAAGGGTATACCTTGGAGGTCCAAGGATGATTTGCAGGCATTAGCTCTGTGCTGCTAGGTAAATAAGTTTTTGGGTTTTTAAGACAGAGTTTAACTATGTAGCCCTGGCTGTCCTGAAACTCACTCTGTAAACAAGGCTGGCCTCGAACTTACAGAGATCTGCCTGCCTCAGACTCCCGAGTGCTGGGATTAAAGGCATGTACCACCATGTTCATCTTACAATAATAATTTTTTTTATTGAGCTTTTATTGAGCTTTTATTGAGCTCTATGTTTTTTCCTACTTAATTTTAATAATAGTTTTTAAATAATACTGGACTGTTTTTTAAGATAGTAAAGCAGGATAGCAAATTTTATTTTATGTGGTCTTATCACAATTAAAAAGCAAGAAAACTGATGTAAACTGAAGGGTTTTTATTTTTCTTTGTTTTTCAAGGCAGGGTTTCACTGTGTAGCCTTACCTGTCCTACAGCTCATGCTGTAAACCAGACTGGACTCTTAATTTACAGAGATCTGCCTGTCTCTGCCTCCCAAGCACTGGGATTAAAGGTAGACATCACCACCAACCACCCAGTCCTCAGATTCTTAATTACATAAATCATGAAAGGTTCAAGGAAGATTCCAGAATATTAATAATGGTTATTTCAATATGAAAGACCATTTTTCCTTAATAAAATTCCCTTATAGTAGGAGAAAGTATACATTATTTTTAAAATATTGTAAGTTAGTTGGCTCAATTATTTAATGAAACAGTGATAGAAATTAGAGATTGTATTCTAAATTAAATTTTAGTCTTTAAGGAACAGATTTGGATTTTATATTTTCTAGATTGATAAATTGCCTCAGTAGTTTTTCAGATTTGGATAGGCAGTGAAATGTAGGGTGTCAGTGCCTGTCCACCCCTACACACACTTGGAGAATGGACTCAAGACCCTGCACATACTAGTCAAATCCTTACGCACCAAAGTACATTTGCCAGTCCTCAAGCTCCTATTTTTAATCACCTAAAACATTACAGTCATAATCCCAGGGGCTGGAAAAGTGACTCAGCAGGTAACAGTATTTGGTCTCTCGCAGAGCAGAGTTTAGTTTCCTGCGCCCATGTAAGGTAGTTTACAACTACCAAGGAAACCAGTCCCCCTTCTGGCATCTACAGGAATCCACACGCATGTGTGTACACATACTTATACATGCACATGAATGAAAATACATTTAAAAACCATAATGCTCATAGCTTTCAAGTTCCCAGTGCCTTGCTGTTTGTTGTGATCTCCATGGTGTTCAGCAAATGGATCTAGTCTTTATCACACTTCAATTTTAAAAGTTGTTCTGAATTTCCATGGGAATACTATTGCTACTTTTTCACTGTTAAATGTCTAATATGACATTTATTAGACTTATATGAATTATTAATATTATGAATTATTAGACTTCCTATATGTGGAATTCACATTGAAGTATATGTAAGTAAGTTTGCTTCTTTGATTCTAGATAGTTTGAGAGTCTTTCACAATATCTTAAAGTATTGTTATTCAAATATGACCTTCTCTGCTAATTCTTGAAATGTTTCTTAAATGCAAAGTATTCTTTTAAACATTTTATTTCAGAAAACTGAGAAGAGTGAGTTTTTAAATTTCTTCTACAACCATTGCATGCATGTCCTCACAGCTCCACTTTTGACCAATACATCAGAAGACAAGTGTGAGAAGGGTAAGTTCTCTTGTCTGTTTGCATATGAAGGCCATAAAGTATTATGCGGTGCTTTATATGGCAGAGGGGTTATTACTGAAGGATTTAAAGTGCAATATGAAGTCATGATTGTCCTTGTCTATGGGTGTCTTTGGTAAGAACTGTCAATGCCCAGTTTGTGGGAAAAGGGTTTTCTTACTAGTATGTATTTTTTGTTGCTTCTCCATATTTGTTGCATGGGTTATGTGCATAACTTACTCATGGCACGTTCTAGTTCTGGAATTAAAGTGAAATAAAGACAAGATTGTTTTGAAGCAGTGTGAGTAAAGAACTGCTTAGGCATTAGTAGTCTAGATCCAGTTTGACAGCAAGTTTTAGTTTATTAGAGTAACCAACTAAGAGGCTACTGTGGCTAGATGTGACTACAGCGGGCCTATAATTTCTGAACTGAGAGGTGGAGGCAAGAGGATTAGGAATTCAAAGCCAGTTTTAGCTAGCCTGGTGTATGAGTTCCTGTCCTAAAGGAGATGGGGAACTGGTCAAGACATGTTTATGAAATTAATAAATGTTACAACATAGACATACCCCATTTAACAGCTTTAAAATGGCTTTCTGATTATTTTCCCTAAAGAGTATTTTTACATTTATATGGTAGGTTCAGTACTGTCACTCTATTGCTTATGATTTTAAAAAATGAACAAATTGTAGAGTATCTATATAATGGAAGATTGCAGTTAAATAATTGAATTGAATTTTGATGTATCAACTTAATTATCATAAATACAAAGTTGATGGGTGGTGGTGGCACATGCCTTTTTAATTCCAACACTCAGGAGGCAGAGGCAGGTAGATCTGTATGAGTTCAGGGCCAGAAACGTGTCTGGGTGTGGGTTGGGGGGAAAAGAAAGGTAAATTTAAAAAGGGATGATCCAGAAAATTTTTATTATTAAATTTGTAATTAAATTTGCATTTTCAGTCATTTTAACACTTACACCATGTGCAAATATACAGTTAGTACTGTTAATAGATATTTATGTATTACCTGTTGGCTTTATCAAAACTAATTTAACATAATGTATGTGTTGCTCTGAAGTTTTAAACTTCCAGCATTTTGTGGATGTGTGTTTGGTCTTATGAGATGGGGTTTCTCTGTAGCTCTTGGAGCCTATCGTAGAACTCATTTTGTAGATCAGATTGTCTTCAGAGATCCATCTATTTCTGCCTCCCAAGTGTTGGGATTAAAGGCATATCACCACCTGGCTCATTTTATGTTTTTTAAGAAGCTGCATCCACTATTCTATGAATGGCCTAAGCCCCTCTTCCACGACTTGTCACCCCCAGACCCCCAGTCTGTCGATGCTGTGCCCTCTCTTCCCCACCTAGCCTCCTCGTGGCCAATGTGATGCAGTGATGTAGGAGGTCCTTCTGTCTGTGTGTTGCTTTCATTGGTTTAATAAAAAAACTTCCTAGGCCTTTTGATAGGACAAAACTGAGGTAGGCGGGTAAGACAAAGCTTAAATTCTAAAAAAAAAAAAAAAAACAGAGTTAGAGAGAGCTGCCATGAAGCTGCCAGGTCAGACATGCTGAATCTTTCCTGGTAAGCCACGACCTCGTGGTGACATACACATTATTAAAAATGGGTTAAATCAAGATGTAAGAGTTAACCAGTATGAGACTAGAGCTTATGGGCCAAACAGTAATTTAATTAATAGAATTTCTATGATTTTGGGTGTGAGCCAGCCGGGCGGGACAGAATAAAGGGGCCCCATGCTCCTCACAATGCAGAAATATATGCTAATTGCTAATGTTGAATAAAAGAAAGTAAAATGTGTCTCTCTTACCTGCTTTTAACCTCACTTTTATTTTCACTGTTACTATCGTCTTTGTCTCTGGTATTTGTGATGTAGGGTTTCTCTGTGTAACCCTGACTGTCCTGGAACTTACTCTGTAGACCAGGCTGATCTCAGACTCACAGAGATCCACCTACCTCTGCTTCCTGAGTGCTGGAATTAAAAGTGTGCACCACTATGCCCAGCTCACTACTATTATATTTTAATAATCTCTGCGCCTAATTTTGTAAAAGGTATATAATATTCAACCAAAGAAGGCAGCTCAGTGGTTATTATGAAATTTAAAAGAAATTATGATTAAGGATGCTTGTATGTTGTGAAATATGAGGAAAATGTAAAATATTATTTACTGAAGTATTTGATTTTAATTTTTCTTTTAAAGATCATTTGCTTGGATCTAACAAAACCAGTACAATTTGCCCTGGTAAGTTTAAATTCATATTTTATAAGTACAAATTGTGAGGTTTTTCTTAATTAGTATGTATGTACATGTATATAGTGGAACTCTTTTTTAGCATCCAAGCATAGACTTTACCTTTTATTATAAGAAAAAAAGTTTTCTTTCCAACTATAAAAGATGAGAAACAGATTGTTTCCTTGGTAAATTTGTTGTTGTTTGATATTCTTTTGAGAAATCATCTGTAATTTAATAATCTAGTTCTTATATTTTCGGTGTAATTGACTACAATCTCTTAGGATCCACACTTTAGCACAGTGCTAAACTTGTCTGTGAGCCTTCATCTTTTATCATTTGCTTCTCTTTAGAATGTGCTTTCAAGGTATGGGGCTGATAATATTAAAGCTGTGGGCATTTAGCATTGCATTCATTGTCCCAAGTTTATCAAAGCCCCAGGAGAAACAAGAGAAACCTCTAAGAGAGATTCCATAGGAGAATGTTGAGAAACTGAATTAAAGACTTTAAAATAGAAAGGGGGAAACAATACAGTTAACAGTACAGATCACTGTTTTAAAGTAACTTTTGTATGTGGCTGGGAAGATGGCTTAACAGGTGAGCCTGAAGACCTGTGTTCCATCCCCAGAACCCATATATGAGTAGAAAGGAGACATTATCCTTTGGTCCCCACAGAATCCCAACAAGCACAATAATAACCTTTAATACTTCTCCAGAGGTAGAGAGGTAGATGGCTCAGCAGTTAAGAACGCATTCTACTTTTATGCAGAAGATCTGAGTTCACTTTCCAGCACTTATTTTATAGTTCAAACTGCCTGTAACTTAATCTGAAAAGTATGAGGCTCTCTCTTGTGGCCTCCACTCATGTGTACCTCCACTCGTGCACAAACACACAAATATACATATACTTAAAAATAACAAATCTTACAGAATTAAAAATAAAAAATAGGAGAAATTTTCATAGTTAAAGACTAGTTCTAATTTTACCTCTGGTATTGTGGCTATTACAGAACTTAGTTTGGAACAAGTAAGACTTTTCTTGCTCTTGAGGTAAAAACGGTGTTTGAAGTGCCAGAGTGTTATTTTGTGTATTTGAAGGCCATTTTGTTAATTAAATGAACACTACATTCTTTCCGGAAGCAGTCAAGATCCATAAAATGTTGTGTGGACTGCAGAGGCTCTTCTCTTCCAGAGAAACAGAGTTCAGTTCTAGTACCCACATTGCACAGTTCACGGCTACCTGGAACACCCTCTCCAGGGGACCCACATCTTCATCTGGCCTTGATGGGCACCTGTACATGTGTGGCATGAAAACACATGGGGTAGTGGCAGTATGTTAAGTGTGTAATGTTCCTGTTTAAATCGAATGGTTGTACTAGATGGGGTTGATTGTGTTAACTTTTTATTTGACTGTGATTCTGTAATTTCCTTTCAGGGTAGTGTTTCTTTTCTAAATCATTATAAAATGATTGTTTATCTTAATTCCCTGGTAGATGTTAAAGTTTCTTGTATAGTCATTTCGTGAAGCAGAGCATCTAGAAAGGTAACCAGAAAGATAGCTTCAGGGATCTGGATGGCATGAGTTGATGAATTCAAGATGGCTACTACTAAAAATCTCCATGAAATCATTTTTGTTTGATCCTTGAATAGCAAAAAATAACATTTTTCTTAAAGATGGCTTTTTAAAGATGTTAAATGGTATTGGGACTGCCAGGCTGTAACATGAGGGGCTGTTTGTTTGTTGGGGGTTTCTGTCCTTCCCAGTACCCCACAGCTGGCAAGCCCAAAGAAAACCACACAAAGATCTCTATTATTTATAAAGCTGATTGGCCCATTAGCTCTAGCCTCTCAGTGACTCTCACATCTTGATTAACCCATTTTTCTGATCTATTTTAGCCATGTGGCTCAGTACCTTTTTCAGTGGGGCAGCTCACATCCTGCTGCTTCGGTGGCCTGGGCAGGAGTGCAAGGAATCAACTTCCTCCTCCCCAGAATTCTCCTGCTCCCCTTGCATCATTTCCACTTCCTGTCTAGTTTTCCCACCTACACCTCCTGCCTGGCCAATCAGCGTTTATTTAAAACATGATTGACAGAATAGAGACAATTCTCCTGCACCACCGGGCAGCATAGTTGGTAGAGGAGCTTGCATATTGGCTGTCTTCTGGTGACCAGACCTCACAAGGTGGTAGGAGAAAGCCCATTCCTAAGACTGTCTTCTGCAATCACACTAGCCTTCGCATACACACGCACACAAACAAATTTAAAAGATATTTCATTGAGCCACTTCAGGTAAGAGCTTTGAGGCCTTTATTCTCTTTTGTACCATTTCTGAATTTGTTCCTATTTGCAGTGATAGCATTAATTAAGAATACATTGCTAGGAAATTCTCAGTGCGACAGGGTTTATTGTCACATTTGTAGATCTATATTGAGCTTTTCTTTTTGTTACTACATTTTTTACACTAGAGCCTTAAAACTGATAATGCTTTTAAATAGTCTACATATATAAAAGTAATAATGTATTTATATATGTATCTTTTAAAAATTATATAAAATGTACTTTCGCTCTAAGATACAGAATGTATTTATTCTCTTTAGGTGTATTATATTTATTCTCATTAGATATCTTTCTTTTGTAGATAATTATCAAACAGCACAGCTGCTTGCCTTAATTCTAGAGTTACTCACATTTTGTGTGGAACATCACACATACCACATAAAAAACTATATCATGAACAAGGACTTGCTAAGAAGAGTTTTGGTGTTGATGAATTCAAAGCACACTTTCTTGGCCTTGTGTAAGTAAGAATTTAATGAGAATTTTGTAAAAAAAAAAAAATTTAAGGAATACTTTTTAGTAGAGGTAAAATGCCAGTTGCCCATGCAAAGTCATCTGCTTATTAGTAGTGTGTGTGATGTTAATGAGATGGCCGAGAGAGCCGACTGCTTCTGCTTTGTATTCTGTAATCTGAGGACAAGAGCAAGAATGGAAAATCGTGGTTTCACACACTCATATTGCTTACATTTAGGTTGAGCTGAATTATCCTAGGTTTTGTTGGAATACAATCCAATGTTCAATAACAGCATTGCTTGATAGACCTCTTCTGATACGTCGAATGCAAATTCATTATGTAGCCAACGGTGGCCTGGATTTTTCTGCTCCTTTCTTCACTATTGAGTACTGGGATTACAGACAAGTGTTATCATATACAGTTTATGCAGCTCTAGCTATTAAACTGAGTGCCTTGTGAATGTCAGGAAATTATACCAACTGAGTGATATTGCCAGTCTCATTTGTTGCTCTTAATACCCCTATCCTCCTTAATATAGCCAGTGTTGGTGAGCTTTAGTGGCTCATACCTGTAATCCCAACACTTGGGAAGGACGATCAGGAATTCAGGATCATTCTTCAGTACATGGCAATTCATAAGTTGGCCTGGTACATGAGACCGTGACTCAAAAGGACAAAACAAACAAGCAAAAACTTAACGTTAATAACCTGTGGCTCTTATTTTTTTCTATCCCTGTACATGTGTAAGTAAATGTATTCATACACGTATACAGGGGGCTTTCACCTTTTTGAAAATTAGATTGTGCTAATAGGTTTCTCTGTTCTTCACTACTGCAAATTATGTGATCTTATTTTTTCTAATGATAGCTAAGTAACTATTTGTGATTTCCACAAATGATTTACCATCTAAAACATAGATTGTAGAATTGATTTTGCTTTCTCACCCATTCCCAACCACACTGTATATAATATAATAATCTTTTATATGCTAATATAGTTTTGTAAGGTTCACAATAATAGGATTGTCAGGCAAAATGTTGTGTACCTTTTCATATATTCTTCAATTTTAACATCTACCTACCTACCAGATTACTTTCCCTCCCAAAAACTGAAGCCTTTAGCATTTTCCTAGCACCCTATTGTAGGTAGGTAGATGGTAGGTAGGTAGGTAGGTAGGTAGGTAGGTAGGTAGGTAGAAACTTTCCCAAAAGCTAAAGCATTTGGCATTATCCCAACATCCTATAATGTCACATGGACAGACAGGCTGATGGACGGATGGACAGATGAATGGGTGGAGGGACAGGGCCTCACTCTGAATTCCCGAGGTAGCTTGGGATGTATTGCATAGCTCTGGCTTACCTTGAACTCGTGGCAGTGCTCCTGTCTCTGCCTGGTGCAGATATATTTTGAAATAGTATAGTAGCCCAGCTGACCTCAAGCTATATGGCTATGGATGATCCTTATACTTCTGCCTCCACCCGCAAAGTATTGGAATATAGGTCTGAGAGTCATCATGTTCAGCCTAATTTGCATTTTCATATGTTGTAAACTGAGGGTTATTTTTTTCATAGAGCCTTTTGTGTATTATAGTTTATGTTTTAGTAGAAGTTCCAGTCTTAAACTTGCCTTTTATTGATGTTTTCCATTTAACTTTAAAAAAAAAAATCTTTATTGGGGCTGGGAAATGGCTCAGTTGAGACTTGCAAGCATAAGGACATGAATTTGATTCCCAGAACCCAAGCGCAGGGCTGGTAGTGTGCGCACATTTGTAATGCCTCTGGGGAGGCAGAGACAGGCTTTGTTGGCTGGCTATTCTGTACTAACTAGTCAGTGGGCTTCAGGCCAGTGAGAAATCATGTCTCAGATAAGCTGGATGACTCCTGAGGGTGTCCTCCAGATTCCCCATGCACACCTCACACACACAGTGTACACATATTGTCACATACACATTTTTAAATGCTTCATAAATTACTATAAATTCAGTTTACCTTTTTTGATTTCTGTGTCCTAAGATAATGTAAATATTCTCATTATTTTTCTCATTTGATTTTTGTGTTTGCTTATGTAGTATATCTGAAATGTGTTTTAGAATGTGGTATGAGGTAATAGTCTAGGTAGCTAGCCACTTATGCCAACACACATATACTTAAAAATAACGAATCTTACATAATTAAAAATAAAAAAATAGGAGAAATTTTCATAGTTAAAGACTAGTCTGTCTAATTTTACCTCTGGTATTGTAGCTATTACAGAACTTAGTTAGGAACAAGTAAGTGTTCCAAGACAAAAGAAGCAAGAGTAGTTGATCTATATTCTTCATCGAAAACCTTTCAAAAGTTTAGATCTGTTATGTTACATATAGTCTCTTTGATTGTATTTCAAGAAAATTAAAAGCAAACATCTGCCTCCATACATTCCTACCCTAGAAATGTAATAGACTGTACCAGTCCTACCCACTTCGCTCCCTGATTCTGTGCTTCATATAATGCACCTACTATCTTCCTTTTAGTGTTGCTAGCATTGGTATTCTATAGATACTGGGTTTTTTAATTGTTCTTTTTTTCAGTTGTTTGTGTGCATGGTGTTAGAGAATAAACTTATGGAGTCAGTTCTTTCCTTCTACTTTCTGGTGGATTCTGGGTATTGAATTCTGTTCACCAAGCCCTTATCTACCCAACCAATCTCATCATTCCTAAACTTTACTTTTGTTGTTGTTTGTTTCAAAGCCCATTTTTTTTTTCATGTACTATTTTACTTTTGGAAAGATTTAAACATTCAAAAATGTAAGCATTGGAAACTTTAAATACAGTTTGTTTCATGTACTATTTTAGTTTTTGAAAAAATTTAAACATTATGTCAAAATTAGCTATAAAATAATTTTGGTAAATTCATTATTCCCTTTTTACATTTTTTTAAATATTAGGTGCACTTCGCTTTATGAGGCGGATAATTGGCCTTAAGGATGAATTTTATAATCGTTACATCACCAAAGGAAATCTTTTTGAACCAGTTATAAATGCCCTTTTGGATAATGGAACGCGGTACAATCTATTAAATTCAGCTGTTATTGAATTGTTTGAATTTATAAGAGTGGTAAGTTTATATTAAAGATCTCTTAGTAATCATATATAAATAAGTAATTGTATATAAAAATGAAACTGTATGTAATCAATTTGATTTTTTTTATTCCTATTTTCCTGAAATTATTATTCCATGCTAGAGGTATGTTGCCATAGTCAGCATAATTCACCTCTTGTGTGTTAGAATCTGCTTCTAATAAACTGAAATCTTTAAAAAGTCACTCACTTTCTCTTCTTACCTGTACATGGGCATTAGTTGAGTGGCCTGTTTCCTCTGAGGTGGTTCACTCGAGGATCATGTATGGGTCCTTCTCTGTGATAGGTAGGCTCTACCACCCAGTCACTCCCCAAACCACTGTTGAAATTTAGGACACTGAAAAGTGAAATTCAAGTCTTATAACTCTATTTGCTCATTTTCTTTTTTCAGTTCCATTTTTCTTGAGGAAATGTTTTAGGATCATGTGTGGCTTGTTGGACATTTGATCTATTGTGAAACAGCAGTTTTCTATTATAGGAGTCATAATAAAAATGAATACAAAATTAATTTTTTTCCTTAGTAGAATTTTATACAAGATGCCTAATAAGTAGGATGGAATTTTAAAATTTTAAGGATGAGAGCACTGGGAAGTTAAAAGTAGTCCAGCTTTTTGTTACAGTTGAGGAAGCTGAGGCAGCAGAAATGACTCATTATTCTGTCGGAGCATCCGGACAGTTCAAAGCACACTGAACAGCCGCAGCTGTGTCCTAGCACAGCTGGAGAGAACCGTGCACACAGACTAGAGAGAAGCTGGTTGCCATGGTCAGCCCAGTCTACCTCTTGTGCATCTAGAAACTCATTCTCTGGTTTTGTTTATAACAAGTCAGATTCTAATCACTTGCTGCTCCTATGTGAAGATTGTTAGGCTCACTAAATGGTTTTTCTAAGAGTGACCACTTGCCAGGAGGATGGTTTTGAGATGAAGAGGGCAGAAGTGTAGTGTAGCGTTGGGAGACAAGCAGTCCAGTTGATTGCCTCGGCTGCTGTCTGTTCTGCTGCCTTCCGTGAGCTTTCTGTGGACTTAGAGCCCTTTTCCCTTTAGCATTTTGGTCAGACACTGATCAAATGAATGGGTTCTCACCTCTCTCCCAAAGCCATTGTAGAGCTGACATTTTTTCTGAAGTGATAAGCTTAATACACTTGAGTCTTCAACCTTAACATGTCTTTGTCCCGTTTACAAAAGTTTATTGCCGAAATAAAAAAGGTAGAGTTCCAGTTAAGTAGTTTATCCTATTTGTATATACAATATAATCAAAGAAATCTGTGCTTATTATCTATTGTGATAATAAGATATTTTGATAACAGTATTTATCTACTTAGATAATAAGATATTTTGACAGCAGTTAAGTAGGAAATCATTAACATTTACTGAACATGTGGGTTCAATGTTTGTTTTCAATTAAACTCTAAGACCTAAATTTTGTCTTTGTAAAATGGGTATAACTTATTTCGTAGGATTATGAGAATCACATATGAAATTGTGAAAGTGTTCTTTAAATTTTGAAGTACTGTATAAAGCACTAAGACACAAACTAAATGCATTGCTTTTCAAATGTTCCTTATAGCCCCCTAAAGGGCTCCAGTGAATTGCCTCTCCTTGTTCCAAGTTTTCTGTGGAGTCCTGTCCTGGCTCATGTATAAGGAATCTAGGACATTTATTTTTAGAAGGTGATTTTGAAAAACCTTTTCTGATCAACTTTGGACATATTAACTTTTTTATTTTAATTTTTTTCTCAACAAGTATTATATTGTTTGGTAAATAAAAATTTTGTGCCTATACAGGAAGATATCAAGTCTCTTACTGCACATATAGTTGAAAACTTTTATAAAGCCCTTGAGTCAATTGAATATGTTCAGACATTCAAAGGATTGAAGACAAAATATGAACAAGAAAAAGACAGACAAAATCAGAAACTGAACAGGTATTGTTTAAGTATATTAATATTTGTAGAAAGCAAAATTAAGTATGAAATTGTCCACGGTTTAGATTTTAACATGTAAAATTTTCTATATTAGCATAACCTCTTCTTATAGAAGGGTCAGCTGTCCTTCCTACCCCATCCATTATATGATAACTTGATACTGTGTATAATAACTCAAGATGGATTTTTAATTTAGTTTACAACATGCAAAAACAATCGAAGAGTTCTCTGGCTATGTCTTACACGATGACTAAGATAATTTTGATGTACTATTCATCATAATTTAAAAGTACATTAGTTCTTGGTTATTTATTCTTCCCAAATTTACCTGGCCATGAACTTGTAGTCATTGCTCAATATCTGTAATATATTTCTTACAGTGTACCATCTATATTACGTAGCAACCGATTTCGCAGAGATGCAAAAGCCTTGGAAGATGATGAAGAAATGTGGTTTAATGAAGATGATGATGAAGAAGGAAAAGCAGTTGTGACACCAATTGAAAAATCTAAGACCGAAGATGATTTTCCAGATAGTTACGAAAAATTTATGGAGACTAAAAAAGGTACTAAAATCCTGAATTTTCATTTCTCTTAATAAAACAGCCAGACAGCTTGAGTTTGATCCTTAGCACCATGCACACACACAACCATAATAATAATAAATAACTATTATTGATTGGGAAAATCTTGCCACGGTATGTAAAACAAACACAAGAATTTTATGCTGAATCATACCCTTTTAAAGTTATCCACATTTTCCAAATTATTTTAGATGTTCATATTTAAAATGTTTTCCTTGAAAGATTGTTTTTGATGCTATTCATTTTGGGTTTAAAATTTTTCAGTTTATACTATTATTTAAACCAGGGTCTCACTATGTAACCTTGTTCTGGTCTAGAGCTCAGAGTTGCCGAGTCTTAGCTTCTCAAATGCTGTGATCGCTGTGCCACACCTTGTCCTCGGTTAGCAGTTTGTTGTCTACTCAGACTCTTCTGAGCAGAGCAGTCTTGGCTTTCTTTGCAAAAATGAATTTCATTGAGGACTTTCATTATGATTAAATTGTGTGAGTGCTTCTGATATTTACAGCCTGAGCAAAGTAAGCTCAAAGCGGTAACTTTGCTCTTTAAAAGTTCAACTGTTATTCAAGTTGCTTAAAGATGTAATAGGGGAAGCTGGGCATGGTGGCGCACACTCCTAATCCCAGCATTCTTGAACTGAGGCTGTAGAAACACTGTGAACTCAGCCAGGCATAGGAAGACCCTGTCTCCCCCCCCCCCACAAAAAAAAATAAATCCAGATAATGGTGGTAGCCTTTCCTAACCCCAACACTCAGGAGGAATAGAAGTTGAAGGTGATCCTCAACTACAAAGCAAGTTTGAGACCAGCCTAAGGTACATTAGACACTGCCTCGTGGGGAGAGGGGGGTGTTGTAAATTTTCTTACTTGTAGAGAACTGAGATATTGCTTGTATCTTTCAAGAGACATAATCACTTTAATTTTATGTCCTAAAGATCACTGACCTGCAAATACCCTTTGAATGTTTAATAGAAATTTAAATATTGAAAGGCAAAATTTACCTCTTGGACGTATTTTGAATGTGACTTATTCTACAGACATTTCTTCTTAGAAAACTTACTCAGTTTACTTAGTATATTTTCTTTCAGCTATTCTCCAGTCTGACTCATTTCCTGTTCATTAGTATCCAAGGGGAACAAAGAGCTTATTGCTGTTCTAAAGAACATTGTTTTTTATTTATGTAATTGCTAGAACTTGAAGCCAGGGTCTTGAATGTGCTTGGCTAGTGCTCTACCACTTAGCTATATATTCCCATCCTAGAATGAATACTTTTTATTTTTATTTGTTTTTAGCAAATTCTTTTTCCTTCAGTCAGTAGAGATACTGCCTCAGTATTGTCAAGAGAAGCAGAAAAGCCATGCTTAAGTATTGCATCCATTATTGGGTGCATGTTGTTAGGAAATATGTTAACAGAATATTAAAGACTTGAAAGGGGTTTGAACACTTTGACTATAAAAGAAATAAGTGGATACATGCTATAGAAGAAATAAGTAAAAGAACTTGGAGTTTTTAGGGAGTAAGAGACTATGATACTTAAGAGTTGTCTCGAGGCATTTGAACTGGTGACTTGTGAGGGGTCAGGAACTGCAGAGTCAGTGAGTGGAGGACAGTAACAGCAGACTGTTAATAGTGTTCCAAGTAAACACTGAGATAAAGCAGTGCACCTTCTGCTGTAAGAAAGTTGGTTCTGCTCTTTGAGGTTCCTAAGATCCTGGCCAACAAGAATATGGACATACCTTTACTCTTAGAAAGCAGAGGCAAATTTGTATGTTGCCACTTTGACAAGTTCTGTGATTTAGTAGTATTTAATAAGGCTCAATTTTATTTTTGCTTTAGCAAAAGAAAGTGAAGACAAGGAAAACCTTCCCAAAAGGACATCTTCTGGTGGCTTCAAATTTACTTTCTCCCATCCCCCCAGTGCTGCTAATGGAACAAACAGTACAAACAGTAAGTCTGTGGTGGCTCAGACAACACCAGCAAGTTCTAATGGGTCCTCTTCCAAAACTGCAAACTTGGCTGCATCAGTGACAGCCACTAAGGTATGTGAGAGAAAGACTACACACAAACTTTGCCTTTTCCGTCTGTAAACTACTGTGTTTACTGAAGATGATTTAGATAAAAGTTTCAAAGAATGAAAAAGTTATATTGACCTCAGAGCCAGACATCCAACATTATTTGCAAACTCTTGAGGTTCACCTTGCATATCACAGAAATTTTAGGGTGAACATTTTTTTTCCTTCTGTTGTTAGGACCTTTTCAGTCATTTTATTTAGCTGCAAATCATAATATATGTGAACATAGTCTCAGTCCCTTTCCAGGCCTGTATTGTGGCGTTTAAGTTGGTTCCACTACCTCACTGGTCTATTAGTGTTACACTTTAAAATATTTTGTTGGATAAATTATTAACGGAATGTCTTTATACACGTTGTTAAATTCCTCTTCAAAGGTCTATATCCGTTTTGTTCTTATGAGCAGTGTGTAAGTATACCTGGTGCAGTGCAACATTAACAGCATGGTTAAAATTTTGAATCTTCACCAGTTGGATGAGGATGTGTCTATAATATCTCTTTCCCCTGTTATGTATCTACTAACAGTAGTATGGTTGAATTTGCTCTTCTGTGTTTTGTCTGTTCATAGTGCCTTTTAAAATTGGTTCATATTTTCTTAATTTGAATGATTTTTTTTTAGTTAAGAGTATTAGCCTTTCTATAATTTTTGTAACATATATTTCTCGTTGGTTTAATATTATAAACAGTTTATATTTGGAACTTCATTTGTATACCTTCTTTTTAACTTTTACAGTTTTCATTATATGGAACCATCCTTTTCCCCCAGAAAAGGCGTGGTTAGCTGTAAGAAGTATAAATGTAGGACAGCTGCTGATCTAGGGGTAGATGAACAAGTATTAGGATATGTTAACAGTAAAAAACAAACGAGAGTCAATTTGAGTACTAACACTCTCTTAGACACCATGACCATGATAACTCTTACAAAGGAAGACATTTAATTGAGGTGGCTTGCTTACAGTTTCAGAGATTGAGATCATTGTGACGGGAGCATGGTGGCATACAAGCAGATGTGGTGCTGAAGTAGTTAGCTGAGATACCTACCTACATCTTGCAACAGGAAGTCACCTGAGACACTGGGTGGTATCCTCCGCATAGGAAACCTCAAAGCCTGCTCCCACGATGCCACACTTCCTCCAACAAAGCCGCAACTCCCTTTGAGATTATGGGGGCCAGTTACATTCAAATGACCACAAACATTTAAAATTAAAAATGAGCACTCAGAAGGCAGGTGGATTTTTGAGTTCAAGGCCAGCCTGGTCTACAGAGCGAGTTCTAGGATAGCCAGGGATACACAAAGAAACCCTGTCTCCAAAAAATAATAAGTAAAAAATAAAAATGGCCAGCATGGTGGCAAACTCCCTTAATCCCAGCACTCTAGAGAAATGCAGAAGCACATAGTACATTTCTGAGGTTTTCTTTTAAGTCTGAGTTTGTATTTAACGGAAACATGTAAACTTCTCAGTGTTAGATCTGCACTATTGTGAGGTGAGCTCTGGGCTAAAGCTCTCATACTTTATAGTAATGTCTGTGGTGAGATCCAAGCATTTTCTTTTCTTCCTTTTTCATTTTTCAAAACAGGGTTTCTCTGTGTAGCCCTGGCTATCCTGGCACTTGCCTCTGTAGACCAGACTGGCTTCAAATTCACAAAAATCTTCCTGCCTCTCCCTCCGCAACTACTAGGAATAAAGACATGCTCCACCTTTGCCCAGCTTTTCCTTTGCTCTTATTCTTTGTAACTTTTCTAGAGTAAATGCCGCCCTTGTCTTTCCATTGTTTCAGTAGGTTATGTGCCTGTTGCTAGTTCTTTGAGGACTTCTCAGGTCCACAAGTATCCTCCTTGGAAATACCTATATTGAAACCTCCTCTTGGTGTTCTCATCTAAATTGGTTTCCCTGCAGATATTTCTTGAGGTTTCTTCAACCATTTCCTAAACCTCCGGATCTTCTCTCTTAGACTGTGTCTTTTTTAGAACCCAGGTATCTGTATTCTCTCTTGACTTAATGCTTCATTTTTTATGAAGTGTTTCTGCTAGTTTTCTCAGCAAAGAATATCATGAGAGATAAAACTTGACTGTACAGGAATGGAAATGTTATTCTAGCCTTCTTGATTACAGTAGAATACAGTGGAGAAGCAGATTGACAAAGGCCGAAGCTTACTACAGTAAAGAAGTTCAAAGACATTTCTTATTCCTCGGCTCTTTCATGTGATTTTAATTTTTTTTTTCTGGAAACATTGTGGATTTTATTGTTATATTCTGAAATTAAATATTTGTTCTTGAGTTTTAGAACATTTTCTGTTCCTTTTTTTTATTGAATAGCACTTTCTGGTTGATTAACAGAGCTCTTGGCCAGTACAAATGTACTTTTCACCTCATTAATGCTGTCATATCCCAAAATATTATTTGTTCTATATCTTCTAGAGCAACAGATAAAAATAGTGATATTCTTAGAAAGCAAAAACTCTTCTCAGTATAGAGTTTCAAATCAAAAACTGATGCATAGACAGAAGTAAATTTAATTTGTTCTCAAACTTCTAACAAATTATGGCCATTTTCCAAATAGTAGTTGATTTTTCTTCACTAATGGTCTTTAGTTTCAGCTTCAGTGTAAACTGCTACAGTTGAAGGCTGCAAAGATATCAGCTACTAGTAAAATTAAAAGATAGAATATGAATGCTGTAAAGATACAAAATATTTTCACTGTTTAGTATAAAACACCCAATTTATATGGGAAAGAATGTTTACAGAATCAGATGATTCTCTAAGATACACTCTTAAGATTTCAGTGGGAGTGTAGCCTGGAATACCATTGCAAAATCCTGTCTCAAAACAGCAAAACCGGGTAGAGAAACTATTAGTGACTGCTAAAACAAACACCACTTCTGTTACAGAATAAGAAAGGAAACCCTGCATATTGCTTTTTAGTAAGCTTTCCAAATCAGAATGTTTAAATTAAAGACTACAGGTAGAATTTAAAGATGAATAACTAACCCTATTGCTGAGAATTGCCACAGCAATGTGAACTTGACATACATCATTTCCGATCTATGCATATGTCTGTATAAAATTTGCATTTATTACCTTATTTTAAATGCAAATATTGAATAAAAATAAAAACAAATGATAATTTTTTTAAACATTTCCTTTTTTATATATTTATTTATTATGTGTACAATAGTCTGTCTCTGTGTACACCTGAAGGCCAGAAGAGGGCACCAGACCTCATTACAGATGGTTGTGAGCCACCATGTGGATGCTGGGAATTGAACTCAGGACCTTTGAAAGAGCAAGCAGTGCTCTTAACCTCTGAGCCATCTCTCCAGCCCCCAAATGATAATTTCTTAACATGCTAACATCAGAACTTAGTTTTATACTTAGGAAATATTAGGAATATTCCCACTCAATCAGGAACAAGACAGGTTGTTGCCGTCACTGCTATTATATAGATTGTCAGATATTAGCGTATTTAGTGAAACAACCAAAACTACCACTGTATAATTTCCTGTTATATGATAAAATGTCCTTGCAAGCTTCAAACTATATTTGATTATAAGTTAGTCTGTTGCAGGAGGAAAAAAGATCATCTCTTCTACAGTTAGTATTTTGATCTTTTACTCCTTGTGTGCCTGGTGATTATTAGATTTTCTTTCTTATAAAAATACATGCTTGTAATCCCATCAGTTGGGAGTCTGGCAACAGGGTTCTAGCGTTGAGGCCAGTTTGTGCGATCTAGTGAATTCCCATCTACACAACAAGCCCTTGTCTCAAAACAAGAAAACAAACCATAGAGACTAGGATTCCCTGTTTCTGCAGTCCAAGCTGTTAAGGGGATTGCCAGGCAGAAGTATCATGAGTCCTGAAGTTCTCAGGAATTGGGGCAGAAGTAGGGTAGGATGGGAGCTACTACAAAGTGGGAAGAATGGCAGGTTTCAAAAAGGTGTGCGTTAATTCAGTAAGAAAAATTGTTTTCAGGACTGGAGAGATAGCTCAGAGTCAATTCCTAGCACCCGTATGGCAACTCACAACTGACTGTAATGCCAATTCCAGGGTACCCAACAACCTCACACAGATAGGCATGCAGGTAAAACACAAAATAAAAATGAATCACTAGACATGGTGGCTTATGCCTTTAATCCCAGCACTCGAGAGGCAAAGGCAGGTGGATCTCTGTGAGTTTGAGGCCAAGCTAGTTTGCAAAGCAAGTTCCAGGACAGCTAGGGCTGGCTGTTATACAGAGAAACTCTGTCTCAAAATACCAAAAACAAATAATTTTTTTAGAAAAAAAATTCTCTTCAATAAATATTACATATTGAATAACCTCATGCAAGAGATGTTGGACTCCTAACTCACTTAATATAAAACTTAAATGAGGGCTGGAGAGATGGCTCAGTGGTTAAGAGCAATGATTGTTCTTCCAGAGCTCCTGAGTTCAATTCCCAGCAACCACATGGTGGCTCGCAACCATCTATAATGAGATCAGGTGCCACAACATGACGGTTCAAATCCCAGGAACCCATAGAAGGTGCCTTTGTTATCCCAGCATTCCTACTGCAATGGAAGGAGCCATTAGAACCCCCAGAAGCTTGCAGGTCTGCTAGCATGGCATATGCAACAGCAGTCCACAGTCTCTGACTTAAAACAAGGTAATGTGTGAAGATCAACACCAAGGTTGTCCTCTGCTCCTCTTCCTCCACACTGCACAGGCAGAAATGCATAGACTCATACACATACACAAAAGGTTTTTTAAGTAACACAATAAGAGCAGTTCACACCTACTAGAATGGGTATAATTTTCTTTAATGGACAAATGTTGACTGGGATACAGAAAAATTGCAATCCGTATTCATTGATAAAGGAGAGGTAACATGAAGTAGCAGCTTTGGGACACAGCCTAGTAGGCCCAGTTCCTGCTCCGTCCGTCCCAAAGCTATACTCATTACAGTTCATGAATTGAGCCAACAATGCTATTAGCCAGAAAAAGGAAGCAGTACAGTGCTGACATAGATTAGCAGTTTACACAGTGTATTGCTGAGAATAAACCTGTCAGGGTTGGAGGTGGAATGGCAATTAATGGGTTAGGGTCAGTGCTGGGAAAGAAGGTCAAAGATGGTGAGAATTGGGAGGGATAGTTGTATAGCTTTGTGACACTAAGGACACTGAATTGTATACTGCAGAGGGGTGACCCCTACTGTGTGAATTTAAAACAGTGATTGGCTTTAGTTGGAGGAGATGGCTTCCCACTCAGTGCCCGGCCCCACCTACTCCCACCGCCACCCTAGGTTAGCCTCACCATGGTGTTCATTTTTATAGCACAATTCGTGTGTTACATCTGGGAAGTGTAGATTCTGTGTTCTGAGAGAAGGCTTAGGTTCTAGGGGAATCTGGTATGCAGAGTTAAACTTCTCCAGTTTTTAGTCCCAACTCTTACTCTTGACCATAAGTACCATTCTTTTGGGAATTCATATTTCTTGCAATTTCATGGCAACAGAAAAGAGGATTTCCTGGCTTTCAAGAAACCAAGTCGTCTTAACAGTTTCTCTTCCTTGGTGCCTGCCTCTGTTCCAGATTTTAGGATAACTGAGTTTCATTTGCATTTCTTTATCCACTTGCACATATTTAGTTTTTTCTTTCTTCCAGTCATGCAAGTTACCTTGCCTCTGATTTTTCTTTTCCACAAAAAGATCTTTGACAACTTTCCTCTTTTGTTTTTCTTCTCATTTTCTCTGTAGATCTGCATGATTTACATTTACTTTCATTTTAGATAATCTAAGGAGATAGTAGACAGCATTGTAAGACTTCCCAGAGCTTTAGCCACTGTGAGCTTCCTTCGCAAATGCAGCAGCGTTGAAACCTGAAATCATTATGTCCTAATACTTAAGCCCTATGCCGTTTTCTAATTCAAACTTAAGATGTACGATTTAGCTAAGCAGGAATTTTCTAAATAATGCCTTCTTTAGTTCATAAACCGGTAACTGCTTCTAGATGCTCAGTCCTCTTCTAACTAATATTAGTGTTTCGCTTATTCCTTCAATGGTGCTTTCAGGTATTTGTGTTTACATTTGGAGCCACTTAGGAAGGACAAGTTACTTTAATTTGTTTAGCTTCAAGAGGTACAAAAGGTTTTAAACTAAACAATGTTAGTAACCCCTTAACCGTAGAACATGCATAGTTTCACAGAATTGGTTCAAAATTAATGCAAGCCTGCGAACACCTGCCATTTTCTGCAGAGGGCCCAAACCTTTCATAAGATTTCTGAGGGGAGTCTGTTACATATAAAAGGCCCAAACCCTGAAATGTACCTCATTCTTCTTTTTAACCATTAGCTTTTCAAAACCATTTTTTTTGTTTTTATTATCTATCTTCAGCCATTTAAATTATTCTTTAAAAAGTCAGTCCTGCATTCGGGAAACAGAGACAGGCGGATATCTGAGTTGGAGGCCAGCATGATCTAGAGAGTGAGTTCCAGGACAGTCAGAGCCGTTAACACACAGAGAAACCCTCTCTGGGGTGGGGTGGATTAGTCCTTAAAAGTAGAATGAAAAATATGTATAATGAAATAAATTTATGTAAAAACTAGAGACTTCTCAGATGAAGTAAGGGAAACTGAACTAGTTTATGTCTAACATGCTTTTTATCTTTGTCCAAGTGTTGTTGGGGGGGGGGTCTTTTTCTTTGTGATACTTAGATAAAGTGAATCTTAAGTTTCATGAAAAAAAAAAAAACAGCAGAAAAGCTGAGGGTGGGACTGCCCCCAGTTAGTACACAGTAAACGGTTGTAATTTAAGCAATTCCTCTCTTCCATTCAAATGTCTTAATATCACATATTCTATTTAGAAAATGACTTCTAATATCTTCTGTACTATATTGGTACCATGCTGGTTTTTCATGCTAATTTGGTTTTTTTTTTTTAAGGTTAAATATGTTAAAGCGTGTTTTTCATTCTTCTATAGGGGAGTTTGGTTGGCTTAGTGGACTATCCAGATGATGAAGAGGAAGATGAGGAAGAAGAATCATCCCCCAGGAAAAGGCCTCGCCTTGGCTCATAGAATACTTGCTGGGGGACTCCCAACACATGGTCTTACTAAAATGCTGTAGCTGCTCACTGAGCTCAAGTCTGAATGGGAAAGCTTTCTCATGGAACGTGACACACATGGAGTAGCAGAGACTCAGTTATCAGGTAGGAAAGTCTAGCGTAAGAAACCAGGCTCCCCGAGAACTTCATTGTTTCTTAGTGATTAAAGGGTTTGCCTTTTGAGCTGTCCAAAATAAGAAGTGATTGTTGGAGCCTAGGTGAAAGCTTCCCAGCTAGGAAAGTCTCAGGTTTGGGAGAAGAGTTATTAATGCAGGGTTGCTTCAGGGGGTCCAACCTAGAGAACATTGTGAGACTTCAGTACCCAATAACATTGCTTGTATAATGGTGCTGGCCATGTTGTTGTTTTAAACAGTTGCCTCTTTTTAAAAGAAATTTTTATGTAAAACAAATTGAACTGTCATTAGAAATGAAGTTACATTGTTGGGACCATTTCTTTAAATATTTCGCAGAAGTGAAACAGCCTTTGGTGTTTCACAGAACGTATATACATACCCTAGGTAACAGCACATACCAGTTTTTCTACACCGGAGACTTAGTACATAAAAACACAAGCTGGGTTCCTAATGGATAGTTTTCTTAGTAGAACTTTTAAAGTCAGCACTTTTAGAGGTAATAGCAGCCAAGAATCACAATAGCAGTATTCTGAAATGGTCCTCCTCAAAACTCAGGAGTGGCTGGAAGAGGGTGTCCCCCGGGACAGTCACTCCGCTTCCTCAGTACAGCTAGCTCTGGGTCTCCTCGCGGCTACTGACAAATTTATAGAGATCAATAAAGAACGGTGCTGAACTAAGTGGCATTTACTATCTAGAAGCCATTTTCTCTAGAGTCACGCAGCATAGCACGGGAAACTTCCAGATGAGGTGTAACACAAAAAATTGCATTTTTAAGAGAATAAAAAGCACATTCCATGTACGTAAATGAATTTAAAATAACTGAGGCAAACTATTAAGAGCTTTTATTTTTAGAACAGCGAGTTAATTGTAAATATTTTAATGTTAGTTTGCTCATCTATGATCTGAGATCATTGCTGAGATAAGAAAAATGACCCCAAACTACAATTTAATGCATTGGGAAAAAACAATTCAAAAACATAGTAATTCCAGCTGCAGTCTTTGGAACAGCTCTGTTTGTGTTTGGGTCCATTCTCCTGGAATAGCTTAAAAGCGGCTTCCTGTGCTGGAGATTTAGAGTTAATTTTAATTTTGGCTATTGTTTGGAAAAGATGGGCTGTCTGTGTAGATATAAAGTATAGTTTTTTCCATAAAACAGATGTTTATTTTGTATTAAAAATACCACTGTACTTGTTTTACACCATTTGTATACATGTGGTGATATAATGTAAAATTCTGGAATTAAAATGTGACCCTGTAATTCCATGATTGAGGCTTGTGTTTGTTTCGTTGTAAATATAATAAGTAAACTATTTTTGAGATATGTCTAATTTCTGTCTTTTTTAAGAGCTTATAAAATCCATAAAGACTTGTTATAAACCATTAGGTCAGAAAGTCTTAAATGCAAGAGTCAACAATAAGTACAGCTTACAGGAGGTAAGCCTTGGTCAGTCCTAACAGTGTCAGAGTACCACAGTGTGAAGCCATTCTCACCTCTAAACCGAGGTGCACATACAGCAAACCTCCACTCACATCACCGTCGAGCTGCAGTCCCCTCACCTAGCATCATTGAGCTACTGAATGAGTGGGCATTCTTCCAAGCAGTGTTGTCAAGCCTCTTCCATCTTCGCACTTAAGACTGCTTAGAATCTAAGCAGCTCTGATGTATGTAACTGTTCTGTTCTTAATCTTATATAACTTAAGTGCAAAGTATTGTCTCTGAACCTTATAAAGACTCCTTTGATTTTCCTTTCTGAGGAACTTCAAACTTTTAAGTCACTAGTATGGGAAAGTGTTTCTTACAGCAGAAATGAATGTCTTCTTAAAAAATAAGGGCAACGATGTGTAATGCATATGCTCACTTACAAGATGAATGGATCCTTGGAAGGCACAACTAGGAAAATTCCACATTAACTGTTGTTGTGAGGACCCTGATGCAGGCTGGGGTGCTTATAACATTATCTCCATCAGTTCAAGAGGTCCTAAAAATATCTGTGAACATGTACCTAATAAAAAGCTATTTTTAATAAAAAAAAAGTTACGTGAAACAGATTAATGTGTTTTTATCACTGGTTTTTCTGGAGGTTGGAGCTTTAACAATTTTAGATTCAAGCAGGTTTGGTGAAATTTTAGAAAAACCCCAGTTGAGGCCAACTGCTGCCAATCTGTCTGATCCCTGGAACTCAGCAGTACAAACTGGCCCCTGACCAGCAGGCATAGTGGCGTAGACATGCCCATAGACGCGCAAAATGTTTAAAAGGGTGCGTATAAAGTGTAACTACAAGTTTCCAAATGCAGGATCCTTCTGATTACCTTTAAGCAGATAGACTAGTATTTTCCCAGAGCTTTACAAAGACCAGCTTGTAAGTCGCATTTTCCTCAGTAGGTTCAGTCACTTGATCCTTTTGTCTGTTTTTATAACAACTTTTATAGAAAAGGTTCTAATTTTCTATGTTTCTATTTAATTTTCCAAATCTCATTTGTTCTGCTTCAAATATAAAGCTCTTTGACCTTTGTCCAAGATACTGCCTTTGGGTTGCATCATACTATGTAAACCCAGATCTCCACTAGTACACCTACCTGTCTTGCTACAGCAGCCACACTTTCAAAAATGAAAGTTTCCAATTCTCCACAATTTCCACATTACCCTAACCCTTCACATGCTACCCCTGCTATTCACACATGCTCTGGTTCAGCTTGAAAGCTGTATACCTTCTTCTCTGCAACCACCTGCTGAGTTTACAGCACTTTGGGCCCTCGAAGCCCCGTGAATGCTGGGCCCCTTCAGTCTGGTTGACTGCTATACCAAGGCTGTGTATCATCTTTAAACACTGTCTAGGAAGAATGAATGAAAGCATGCGCTATCAACCAGTTTCTCTCTGTAGCCCCTTTGGAAGAGAAAACATGCACATTTTTGTCTTACTTTATTTATTTAGGTTGTTTGAGACAGGTTCAGGTAACCTAGGCTGACCTCCAGTTTGGTCTGTGCCTGAGGATGACCTTGAACTCCTGATCCTCCTGCTTGCTCCCGCATCCTGGGTGCTAGGATTATAGGCCCGCAACACCATACCTGGCCTTATGCAGAAATTTCTGTTAAACTGCCTTCCCTCTTGCCCTTTACCTGTTTAAAATAATAATAGTGAGCTTATAGTTGCATTTAGAAAGCAGGTATTTGCTTGAAACTAAGTCTTGTTTAAGGATTAAATAATTTATTTTTAAGAAAATTTGGACTGTTTTGCTAACTCTTCGTATTACTTATTAATAACTTCTTCTTTAAGTTTCTCTGCAAGTAGTCGCCTCTTTATTAATGTTTGTTTCTCCTCTGCTGTCATTTCTGGCTTCTCTGTCATTTCCTTTAAAAAAGAAAAAACAAAAATTAAAAATTAGCTTTATATGTCTAAAATTCTCAACATGCTTCAAAGAACAAAAAGTAAGGGCATTTTTAGTAAAACTTAAAAGTCAACAACCAAGTTTCTCAAATGGCAAAGGTAAAACAGACCACCAACCCTAAGGAACTCAGCATGGGAAGTCAACAAAGCTGTATCATGAAATGATTATTTCTGCCTCACAGAATTCCCAGCTAAACTCTCCCGAGAGAAGACTTAGCAGTTGTACTAGCAGATGGTTCATTTGAGTGGATCAAGCAGCAAAATTCACTGAAGACTTTTACACAAACCAAATCTCTTCCCCTGTTTTGCATAGTTGACACATTAAACTAGCCATACCTCCACCTCCCTGGTAGGCTTTCCTTTTTGCTCAGTATTCTGGATCTGTTTTGCCCTCATATCCTTTCTCATGGACATTAGCTTATCTCTTTTCTGCTTGAGATAGTGTTCTCGTTGCCGTAACTCTTCTGTTCCAAGTGCTGACAGATTCTGGTTCAGATAAGAGAAGGAACTGTCAATATTCAAGTCCACACAACACTTGGACATCTACTGGGTCAATATTAAGTTGCAAGATCCTAATGAAGTGTATGACTCTTGTCTTGCTCACAGTAAGTTAGCTTTTACTTACTGCTATTGGTCCTTCCATGCTCGAATGTTCTAAACCAGGAATCTTCAGACCTTTTTGTGGGAGGGAAGAAGTTTCAGGCAGCAGCTCCATCTTTCTTGCCAAGGGTTGCACTGACTGACTAGCAAAATGCACTTTAACTTCTGGTAGTAAACAGTGAGACCAGTTATGGGATATTATAACTTAAAAGACCACACAATTATGGAAAACATTGATACTTCCTAATTCAAACAGCACACAAGTACCTCACAATAACATCTTTGGTTTCCAAGTATGCTTCTAAGTGACTGTACACTTAATGACACTGATTTTTCTGTCTTACAACATTAGTTGTCAACAGCAATGACTTGTTTTCTGTTACATACTGAAAGGAACTACTAATGCATTAATAAGAAAATGTAACCATTCCTACAGCAAGGAAAAACTTCAAAGCACATGTAATATAAACATTCAATAACTGCCATAGGTATAATATTCTACTTGCTTTTGTAGTCTACTTTCTATAAGAAAAGCAGGTGTTTGGTTTCTTTTTTTTTTAAGCCTAGTAAAATGACTTAGAAAATTAAGTTTAGCTACCAGTATGATGACATATGAGTTTGATCTTCGGACCTGCATGAAGGACAGAACCAACTCATACAACTTGTTCTTGACCACATGCACAGAGTACATAGTGGGACACGGATCTCTCAGTCTCATGTATACACGTACATACGCACACAAGTAAATCATCTTTGAGAGGGTGGGGCTTAGGAGATGGTTCGGTGGGAAACCAGCTATGAGAAAATGAGAATTTTAGTTTGGATACCCCGCACTCATTTAAAAAGCTGAGCTTGGCAGAGGACATCAAGCCTAGAGACAAATGGAATTCAGAGGCTTGCTGGTTAGTCCATTGAGTTCTAGGTTCAACGAAGAGACCCTATCTCAAACAATAAAGTGGAGAGCAACAGAGGAAGACACTTGACCTCAATCTCTGACCTCTACATGCCTCATCCGTGTGAGTATTCACATATGTGCACACATATATATATGTCACATATACACATCAAAAATTAAAAGATAAAAACATTTGTAATTACGTGGGCTATGAAAGAAAACAGACATATAAAGACTTACATTAAAATGACAGAAGTAAAAGGAGCATGGTACATATCTCAAAGGATTAATAATCCTGCCAGGTGTGTATAGGCAGAAAAGAAACTTGGCAAGGATCACGGCTGAGGTACAGAGAGAACAAGCTGGCCGCACTGCCAGAGAGACCAGAAGAAATCCTTTGCAGGCTTCCATGAGAAGACAAGTTAGAGCAGCACTTCCCAAACGGGCTAGACGGAGGCCACAGAACCTAATGAGTTTAAACAAGTAGCTGCTAATATTCAGGTCACAGTGGAGATTATTTTACTAGAAGCAGTCTTGGCTACTCAAACAGCCACAGAACTGGAGAAGAAAGGATTAGAAAGCCTAATGAAACAAACTCATATCCGGCAACTCCATCACAGAAGAGATGCTATTGTTTTTGTAGGAACCGAGAAGACAGGAATAAAAGGGCAAACAATACAAATCAAACACCCTGATTCTTTTAAAATTAGGACTTCTTACTAGGTAGGGTCCCATCACTTTATATGAAGTGATCCCAAAAGTCAGATATACCAATTTTACAAAGTCCTGAAAAATTAAAGAACATGTAGAAGTTATCTGCCAGTTGTTTTGCTATTGACATGTAAACTTTTATGTGGTCTGTGATGAAATTTTGGGTTTTGCTCTTTTTATTTATTTAGATATAGGATCTCACTATTGTCTGGCCTATATATAGAACTCACAGGAAAGAAAAAAGATCAGACATAATAGAAGTGCAGAAGGGAACTTTATAGCCCTGTTTCTGTCCTACACTCCTGACCAGTGTTAGCCTGTTCCTTCAAAACCAGTGAGCAAACAAGAATAAAGGGGAACTTTGACAAATGGAAAAACCATAATTCGAAAAGCCAGATTGAAGGCCTCTGCTTGTAACCCCAGCACTCAGCAGGCTGAGGCAGGTGGATCTCTTAAGTTTAAGGCCAGCCAGTACAGACTACTTAAAAAGAGTCAGAAGGCACATTTCACTACTTAGGAGCTCAGAACACTTGTGAAGTCACTTTCTTGAATTTATTATTTGGAAAAAAAAGGAATACAATGTCTATCTCACATTTTTTATCTTTTCAATTAAGAAAAGATTTAAAACCATAGAAACCTGTGAAAAACTAAAATCATGATCATGATTCAATTTCTGTTGCAGTTACTTTTATACAGTATAAGAAAATATTCAAAGTGGATATGATACAT